TAGGGGTCGTTCTGAGGGTTAATTCCACTCTGTACATCGAAGCCAGACTTAAGAACACCTCCCAACCACGATGAGGCAGTAAACCGTTGGGAGGTAACAACTAAGTTACCGTAGAATTAGAAACAGTTGTGGGGCTGAATATATTTCGAGTGCACACTTATTTGGAAAGAAAATGAACAATATCATGACGCAAATAAAAAAAGGATGAAGCTCTCGGCTTTGATCAGTCCCTCAGGGATGCACCGTGCATTTATCTTCATTAAGCATCGTTCCGAGGTGATTGAATGCATATTTGGGCTTTACAATGACTCGCGGTGGTCTACCGATGTATCGAGCCATTGCTGCTGTCCTCCTAGACAAGTTTGGTTGCCGACCCCGGAGGGATGGAAGGCTTGGTGGATCGTGGGCGCGGGGATCGATTCCACGAGTGTGTCGCGGTGGCGCCTCCAACCACTGCGCCATACGCGCTGTATCATATCATGACGTAGACATGGCAATCCGAGTAAATTCAGGTATATGAGCTCTTTCTTCTCAACTGTTTACAGCTTCATCGTGGCTGGGAGATGTTCCTGAGTGACAGGTTGCGATATACCGGGAGGAGTTCTTCTCTCCAGCAGAGCCTCTCAAGCTGAGTCCGGCGTTTCCACTGGGAAGCCCAGCTAAGAGTAAACTAATACCAGGATCCACTACCGTCGTGATATCAAACTAGTTGTATAGTAGCAAATCCTCCTCTGATCAACAAAGACGACGGCTCACTGCGGTGATGACGACCTGAACCAGACCTTGCCCAGGCTGACCTCGAGACTACAGGGAATCCCGGTGGCTAAACCAGCGGAACTCCGAAAGAATGGAAATTATGCTGAGGTTAGTACAATCAGTGAGGGTGGGCTAACTAAGTGTACAAGTAAGGAAGCATGAGGTTTTCACTGTGGTGGAATATGGGCGCTACAATTGCTTCCTGATTAGCTCCCTGCGAACTCAATATTGCGATGCACTCTGTCGAATTTCCAACGTGTCCAAAAACAACCTTAATGTAGAAATGTATTCTTGTTGAGTGTCGATATCTGCACTCTTGTTGTATAGTTTTCCAACAGTAATATGTGCAATAGCGCCAATTTTCTGGGGGAGGGTACCACTACACAGTGTCAGACTTATAAAGGTTACTTTAAAGTTTTGCGATGGCTTTCTTTCACTACTTTTTTACATCTTCTCCAAACACATTGTTAAGTGTTCTCTTATTTTACTATTTATCCTCTCATTTTATACTTCCATCGCTTTATTTACTTTAAAAAGAAGATAAAGTTCTTGCCGTTGATCAATCCTTGAGGGGTGTGCCATTCATTCATTCATCATTAAACATCGTTGGAGGTGATTGAATGCATCTCTGGCCTATAAAGTGACTTTTGGTGGCCTAGCGATGTATTGAGCCAGTGCTGCTATCCTCGCAGATAAGTCTGGTACCAATTTGCCGACTCAGGGGAGATGGAGGGGTTGGTGGGCCTAGAGCACGGAGATCAATCCCATGTGTGTTGCAGGGCACTTCCCACCACTGCGCCACATGCGCCGACTTATTATTTGCTCTTGTTGTTTGAGAAATTCCCCACTTTAGATCCGATGAGCAACGTTCGAAGAATTCAATACATGGCTTTCACCTTGCCGGGCAAGGTGTTTACAATCGATTTGCAGAAAGTGGAAGAATAGTTTTAATTGCTTTGAGTGTACCACCTAGCGTAGAGAACTAGATTTCCTTCGGCTTTCCGCTTTGCTTCCATTTAACCACCTTCCTTCCAGTTTGAAATAAGGTATATAACTGTAATTATGGCTATGAACTAAGACCACACACTGTGCCGATTTCACTACTTCTTTCGTTTTTCACATCCATCAACAGCGGTGGTCTTCAGGGTCTGTGTGGGTGCATGGTCGGCTGCTGCTCGAAGAGTTCTGGACTTCTTTGCAAACGTTTTCGGACGTTGGTTAAATCGATTCTCCATAGAATTCTAGAATATCCATTATAGTGGAAAAGATGATTAGTTGGCCGTGGGTAAGGTGAACAAAGGCCTCGCGGGTACTATTGAACGACATCTCTACCAGTGCGCCACCCTCGTCCCCGTAATGTTTTATTTCAACCACAGTGATGCTGAGATATTTGCAAAACTCGTGACCGTATGTTCCTGCGGTAGGGATCGAAGACGCTATTACCCTTTCGGAGGACCAACGCGTTCACCACCACACCATGCGGGTCCTTTGTTTCACCTTTCTCTCAGTTAGTTTTACATCTAGCAGTGCCATCAGCAGTCGCCTGTCAACGGGGCTGGTCTGGGAAGCACACATCGGCGTTCGATCCAGTTAAACTGAGGCTGTAGTCGAAATCACAATTTTAACTTTCTATTCACTGTCTAATACGATTTTTCCCTGCATGGTGTGGTGGTGAACGCCTTAGCCCTTGGAAAAGGTGACACTGTTTTCGATCCGCAACGCAGATACTGTGGTCCGAAGTTTTGGAAATATCTCAGCATCATTGTGGTTGTCTCTTACATAACACTTGCCGTGAGAAAAACTGTAGTAGGCAATAAATCTTGGTTAACATTGTTTTATTTCAACTTGATACATAGATTAATTCTCGCAGAATACCATTATATCTTGATATAATAAGAGATCCTCCCAACGGTTTGCCGCCTCATCGTGACTCGGAGGTGTTCCTGGGTGTTGGACTGCGATGTACAGCAGGGTATTCAACCCCTGGCAGGCTTTCTCAAGCTGAGGAGTCCGACATTTCCATCAGGAAGCCTAGGTAAGAGTAAACCAATACCAGGATCCACCGTCGTCCTGGTATCGAAGTCGTATGGTGGCAAAGCTCCCTCTGATCCACAAGGGCAGCGACTGCCTGGGGCGGATTTTGGCTAGGCTGACCTCAGGATTCTAGGGAACCACAGTGGCTTAACCATCAAATCTTCGAAAAATGGAGAATGTGCTGGGGCCCGATCATCCAGTGAAAACGGGCCATTCAAATATCAAGTATCAAGAATAATAAGAGATCTAGATAAATGACCCGTCTTCGTATGTCATGTGGGCCCCAACACTTCTTCTGTTCCTTGCGTTGCCTTACAACCATCATCCACAGATGTGGTCGACTTCGTTTGTGACTTTGGAGGAAACACGAATCGTCGTTATCTTCTTACGCTAACATTTGTGTGCTGGTGGAATGTGGTTTTCTCTAGAGATTTGTAATAGCCAAGCTGCAACGTTGTCAGATCGTTAGCATACACAGTTGGTGGCGTTTGTGGTTGGAACCAAAATTTGTTTCCTTGCCTCTTCCATTCTTACAGGAACACGGCGATTCATGTGGCGGCAATGTATCCTGTCATCAATCGACCGACCTCACATGGGTGATGCAACTGAATTCCAATGTGAAGTATACAACCACTAGTCCTCAATTACTTGACGGAACAGTGTTTTGAGCTCTATTCAGTAGAAACGCAGACAGATATCGCAATGTATAACTTTCACCTACTGCCCAGCAAAACTTGGACAGCAGGCCAGATCGAACCACGACTACCCTTTCCGGAGGCTCACGTGTTACGCACGGCACCACTAAGGCCTTCCTTCCGCTTTTCTCTTAGCCACTCCTTTTATCCAAACGCTGCCATCAGCAATCATCCGTCAACGGGAATGATCTCAGATGTACAAATCTGAGAAAATACTTGGCTGAGGGAAAGGCGAAAAGAGGGCCTCAGTGGTGCCGTAGGCAACACGTGAAGCCGTTGAAAGGGTAACTGCAGTTCGATCTGGCCGGCGGTCCAAGTTTTGCAAATACCTCAGCATAATTGTGATTGTTTCACATACAGAGAAACCGCAGCCATGTCGAAGAAATGACGCACACTACACAGGTGCACTCGATCGACGTCTTTTGAAGATGGACCGACACATTACACATCAGGCCGATTTTCGTACTTCAGATCTTCGAAGAATACCTTGTAGTCCAGACCCAGCAGAACACACCTCAACAGGTAAACATCGACAGGCCGGCCGCTCACATAATGAGAAGATAAGGCGACAGGTGCTAGACGAGGCGCCTGAACCAGCTACACTCAGGGCTAGGATCAAATTCCAGATCCTGAAACTGCCTCACACAGGAGTACATACACCTCGATGGATGACGACGGTGGCAAGAGGGTAGGAGTGCTGGGACCCGCACGACATGCGAGGACGGGTCATCAGTGTCGGGATAAGTAGGTAGTACTCAGTTCTCGTTGACGGGGTTCATTTCACTTTTCAAACGCTTCACAGCTTCATTCTACTCGAGTAATTCAGTTAATTACTGTTCATAGCAGATTTTGTGATGAATCAGATTTGCTTAGCGCTGCCGTTTCGCTACTATCATTCACATGGTTATTGATTTTTCGCTTTTTTCCAGCATTACTCGGGACGAGGACGCGGCCGATAGCTTGCTCATATTACTATTTTAGAGTGCCTGGATTTTCACATTCCATGCACACTCTCTTTATTTGTGAGTGGTTTTGGTTTTGCTTAGAGGTTTTTAGGCCTTGTCTCTAGGTAAAGTTTGCTTGTTATCTTAATATTTCTTTTAAAAGTCTGAAAACTCTCAGTCTTTGTGAATTTCCGTGAAAGGATAGATTTCGGAAGTACCATGAGGTTCGAAAGCTCTACAATCGGGTTATTGAAACGAAGAAATTCTTTGTGGAACGTTTTGTGTTGTTCGTTTTGACGATTTTTCCCTTTACATTGATGTTTAAGGCTTCTAGCACTCCTGGTCTTGCTACTTAAGACATTTTCTTTTAGTGGGACTAAGAACGGAGTAGTAAGTCGTTGTAAAAATGTCGATTTATTAAAGATGTTTTCAGGAACATGCAAAAAGATTGAGTCACGTGACCATTTGGTGATATAAAGCATTGATTTTTAAGTCGAGTCACATGTATGTGCGAAACAAACACCTCTTATGTTTTGTAGAACCGTGATGTTATCCATTATTTTTTTTTAGAATCTTGTTTATGCTACCCTACGTTGCTTACAAATACATCCAGAACAAGCGAGAAGCTGGTCGTCGTGAAATGGATGCCACGTTGGATTCACTGACTTCGAATCTGTCCCGTTCCATAATTCCAGACAATGTAGGTGACGTTAACTTTGTATCTTGAAATCTCTCAGCGCTAGCTGACAATTTGGCTAGCTCCAAACCAATCGACCCTAACTGCGGAGTCCTTAGGGCAGAGATACTGTTTGTGGATTTTTTACTAACAATACGTTAGCTTAGTTTTCTACGGCTATTGAGGTTTATTGGGTCGTAAGTTTCAAGAGTTTTGACTCAGAGGTCCGTTGGATTTAGTGGAAGGGTACAAATTCAAGAATACAGTACTGTCACAGTATATTTTTTGACTAAATTTCACAGATCAATCCTGAAAGAATTGTGTCAACATCTTCCTCCCACCAGTGTTCTAATAGGTACATTAGCTTCAGTGGGTGCTCTGCTATTCTCCTTCTAAAATGTTATTCCTGTTTAGGTTGTACTTCGTTTATGCGGCGTATCTGCAAAAGTTTCGGAGGAATACATGCCTGGTGTACTGATCGTCGTTGAGAAAGTCAGTACTATTTCCCGTCTTTTTTTTAAATACTTACAACGATTTTACAACAGTTGTTATTCTAACAGGGGATATTCTCAAGCAATCATTCAGTACTTTTATGTTTATACTCTAGGACTTTTTAAATTTTTCTAAGAGTTCGTCAACTTTTTTTTGTTATAGGCAGTTGGAGTGTTTATTGAGTGGGTCCCCACTGAAGAAAGTGGACCGGTCTACGCACCAGACACGTCTGGATGGGTTATTACTGAAGACGGTGGGGAGTCCCAGATGGTTCATTCACCAAATGGGTCACCAGATCGGGTGAGATCGTAGTTCTTCCAATGAGCTCTGCTTTTATCGCTTGTATAAATATACAATTACCTGTTTTACTTGCAATACCCATTTTTAACGGGAAACATAGAAACGGTGTTCAATTTCCCTTAAATGTGTGTTACTAGTATAGAGTGTATTCTCCTGTTTTGATCACAAGCTTTCACGTGACACTAGGTTTTTGCAATGAAGACGTCGTTTCTTGTGATAAGTTTACTCTTAGCTGAGCTTTCAGAAGAGAATGTAGATGTTGTCAGCTTGCTTGATGTCGTTGGAGGTATATCGCAGTTCAACCCCGTGAGTGAACCCCAGCGACAGTAGAGCATTTGATTCGCGGAGTGCATATAAAATGAAAGACTAATGCTCTCGGCGCTGATCAATCCCCCAGGGATGCGCCATGCATTCGACTTCACCAAGCATCGTTAGTGGTAATTGAATGTATATCTGGGCTTTACAATGACTCTCGGTGACCTGCCGATGTATCGAGCCAGTGTTGCTATCCTCCCAGACAAGTTTGGTACCAATTTGCCAACCCCGGAGGGATGGAGGGCTTGCTGGGTCTGGGATGCGGGAATCGTTCCTATATGTATTTTATTGAAGGACGCCTGCGGCGACTGCGCTGCACACGCCCTCATAGAATACGTAGTGCTAAGAATCAGATGCCTAGCATAATCCAAGCATGCATCGAATAGGTGTTAATGAAAAGTCTGTTAACGGCAATATTAATAATTCTACTAGTGGAAAGTGTTTTGGGCACGAGTTTGTTGAGTGTCCGTGCCTCAACTTTTTTAGTATTTATTAACGCTAAGAAGCTGGTAGCCTTCCTTCGAAATGGTGTATTAACTTTACTGAAAATTTGCAGCCTCCAAAATTTTTTTTGAATCAGATTGTAAACAGTTTAACGACGATATGCAAGTTTATTTCGCTCTCTTAGCAACCAGTGTTTAGATGCGATAATCGTTATTTAATAGTTGAATGAGTTGTTTGTTTTATGTAATATTATCCCCATGCAGAACATTCTTTCCTTTATGCTACCACCAATTGTTGCAGGTACCTGGGGAACTGAAAAGCAGTCCTGCGTTCTCTGTCGATGTCAACGATCTGAGTAGTTTCAGAAGTATCGAACCAAAAAAAGGTTTTTCATACTTTGTTTTAAGGCATAGACTTGCTCTAATGACTTTTTCTGTGGAAAAATTGTAATACTCGGTAATACTCGTTGTGAATTTTACTGAAATTACTTCCAGGACAAGGTTATCCAAGCGTTCAATTGATTTGCAAGGACGGTTCTAGCGTTGCGCCATTATACTTCACTTCGGAGTCAACCGTAAATTTCATCGATGTTCTTCAGAGGTATCGGTCAATGAAATCCTAGAGCTTTTATGTTCCATGCCAAAGTTATCTCTGGAGTAATTTCGATTTGTAGGTACATTACGCTACGGAGGTCCGCTCGTGAGCCGAATCTGGTGCTAGTCGTTGATGGCAAAGCGGAGGCCTTAGCACAGAGTGTGATCGCACTCGGACAAAATGATGATGTTCTGTCGGTGTGTGTTCAGCTTTATTCAATATTAGTATATTTTAAACTCGGTTCATATAGTCTAATTCTTCACTAATTTCCTTCTTCACAAGCACGATTATTAGCCATTGTATTGACTTTCTTCCATTTTGAATCACTATTCTTCGTTATTTCACGTATCCATGTTTTCATATTTTATCTCAGAGATTTATGAAGAATCCTTATGCAGCCGCGCTTACAGGATTCGGAAAAATCACTTCATTCGTACAGGAACAGGTGCAACTGTTAATGTTTCTTCCTTGAAGTTCGTATCCAGTTTCATGTTTCTTTCGAAATTTCATTTCAAATTCAGATGATTCCTGCCCTTCTGGATACAGATGCCGTCAGTCAAGAGGAGCAAATTCGTGCCATGCGTGAGCTTACACAACGGGAGGACGATGCTGCAAAACTTCGGTAATTAGTAAAATAAGAAAATCCATTGAGTAACTTTGATCAAGTACCATGTATGATTAAACACCATCTAATGAACGTGGTAGATTATTGGGAAGTTGCGTATTATCTATTTTTAGAATTAATCTTGACGCGACATCAGAATTTGAGCTTGTCACTCAGCTTGAACTTCCTCCTAGGCCTGACATCTACAGAGAAGCACCGGTGACGCAAGTATGTTTTTGCGTTATTATGACGTTTTGGTTGATAAGACTCATCGGTTCTGGTTACTTCTCAAATTTTCGCGGTCATTCTATAGGAGGAAAATCTGAAATGTTGCAGGATATATGGGACAACTTCAAAACATCTGATGGCACTTTTGATCCACAAAACATACATCACCTAAAGATGAACATATTCAGAGGAGGTTATTTTATTTAATACGAAGCTAATCTTATTCAAGTCCGAGTGTAACACATTCGCAACGACTCTGGTTTTGTGACAACAGACGGAACTTAATCAGAATATTCGAGGAGTTCAACACCGTGTAGATTTACCGAAGAGACTGTTGTACCGTGTGAAAATATATATATATATATATATATATACAAGTATATAATGTTTACGCGGGCTCGTTTGAAATTTAAATGTGTTTTGATTCTAAACGTCCAAGAAAATTAACAAAGAAATTCAAGTTCTTAAAATCTCCAACGGTGAGGTGGAAGCTGCAGCTCCAAGAAACACACTAGGGAACGCTATCTTTTCTTTTGTAGCAGATTCCTGCTTGCTAATTTGCTCTCGTATTAGAAATAAAGGCGTTGAAGTAATAATATAGAAGAAATGTATGTCACTGGGTTCGGAAAATTGGAGCTCCATCGTGCAGAAGCAGTAGTACCTTTATTCTGTAGTCAAAAATTTGTATATTTTAATGGTTTCTGTTGAAATTAATGAAATCAATTATGGACTGAGATATAAAGGTTTAAAATTCAAATTTGAATTTGAAATTTGTCTATCGCATAGCTCTTATAGAGGTCACGTCGTGGAGTGTTAATTAGTTAGAATGCCCAATTTTCGTCACCGTTGTTGAATAATGGTACGTAAGTTTAGGTTTGACCCCAGATCTGCGCAAAGCTGTATGGAAATACCTTCTTGGTTATAGAGCATGGGATGAAACAGATAGCCAGTTCAATAAGGTTTGTCAATAGACGTTTCTTGCACTTTACTTGAGAATTTCTTCCAAATCCTTCTCTTATTTTCATCATCCAAGTTTTTCCAGAAACGCGCAGTGCTTGCAAAGGAGTATGAAAGATTGAAAGCTCAGTGGCAGTCAATAAGTCTAGATCAGGAATCTCGTTTCTTCAGTTACAGCAAACGGAAGGGACTTGTTGGTGAGCAAATAGATTTTTATTTGATCTGTGTGGTCATGTGTCAAATGTTTTTAACACGAACAAAGCTGTTCTTTTGAAGAGATTTTTGAGTAGTAATAGTTTTTATTTAAAGGTTGCATATTCACTGTCTTCTAATAAGTTCTAGAGATGAGTTGCATTTAAAATTACAATATCACATAAAACAAACACGTATAAATGGAACCCACTGCGTTCTCAATTTGCTAAAGAAATCTGGCCGCTTTGTAGATGGTTTCCGCTAAAGAAATTTTCCTTGTTCAGACCTCATTGTTCTTCTAATCCGTCTCTTACCAGTTCTCATCGTCACATAGACGGTACTTCTATGGCTTCACTTGAAATATATATCCTTCCGAATCACGTAGGCTACCGATAATCTTGTCCATGCACAATCGCGCATTTGGTCTTCGTACTGTATATGCTGATTGTGTTTCAGAGCATCATTCTAGTGCACCATGTTTAGTGCACAAAATTCTTTGCCTAATGGGCTTTGCGTGTTTCAAGTAGAAAATGAAAAGCTGCGACGATGAACACATGTTCGTGGAAATGCGAGTCGTATTCCAGAAAAACCATTTTCTGGCGTCTTTGTCGCAGTTTTGATCTAAGGGGCATCAGTCTCATTTCGTTCTCCATTACAGTATAAGGGTTCATGAAATGGGTATTCTTTTACTTTAATCGAAGTCTTTTTTTCACGAGTTATTTACTCACTCTCTTAAAGGGATTTTTTATCGGCGTAATTTTTTCACGGTGATTTTTTTCAGTAGGCTTCTTAAAGTTTTGAAAGAGGTTTTCTAATGAAGTGCTAGTCGAATTTTTGTAGTCTGATCTATGTCATGGATAGGTAACGGATAGTTGTGGAAAAACGCTTTGTAAAGAATGCATTATTGATACTATAGACAAAATCCCAAGATAAAAATCTCCCTAGCGTCAACTTCTTTTTTATGTGGAACTTCAAGATATCCTTTCATAGATTCCGCGTTATTATGGCACTCAAACAATTTCTGGTATGTAATGCAAAGATCGTGAAGAATGTTCGCCATGATTTCAGTGGTGGAGATACTCTTCTGTTTTTTTCTATCGCGACCCGTCGTTCATATCTCCTGTGCGGATCCCAGCATTTCTCACATTCGATTTATTTCCTCGAATCCATCATACACGACGGTTTTTTAGCTTTTAGGTGTGGCTTCGGCCGTTTGATGGTTTTCCTTTCACCTCGAATGTCGTAAAATATTGGTTGACTCGATTCTCCCCGGAGTTCTGAGTCAGCCGGACTGGAACGTCCCTACCTGGATTGCAGAGCATGATTTTTTCCCGGATAAGTTCGGTATGAATGCCTCATGCCTAGGGGTTTCAGGAGCTTGATGAGCTCGGAGCGGGATCGAACCAGCACTGTGCTCGTTATGATCGGCATTACTACCACTGTGCTGTCCCTTCCCTCTACTCTTCTATTTACCTAAGGATTAGATTCAACGTGAGAATAAGAAAAGTGAAATATGAGGCTTTGTAGAATTGTTTTATTGTAGTAGAAACGAGAAAAATTAGATTATGATTCGATTTATACAATGTGCTGCTGAATAATGTACTAGCTTGGTGCAAATACGGCGGATTTTGAACTGCAACTTTGCAAACTATGAATCGGTTCAAACATAGCTTTGTTATTCAAAATAAGTGACGTTGGAATCTCTAAATATCGTCGAAAGACGCATTTCGGGATCACCTGTCGTGTCGTCCCGTTGATCATCGAATGACTCGAGCGGGCCCCAGTAAATCTTCCATTTTTCTCTGTCGCGTGCAAGAGTAGCCCAGTGGGTTCTACTCGCTCTAGGAACTCGTCGAGCATCATATCTTTCTTCCAGGTTCTACGTGAAGAGCTGTGACCATCGGGTCGGTGGTCTTCTACGGTACGCTTGACATCCCGAGGAACTCAATCACTAAGGGCTCTTGTCCATCTGTTGTCATTCATACGCATTACTTGTCCGGCCCAACTTATCTTCGACTGTTTGGCGTACAGAACGGCATCTTTGATTTTTGATCGTTAACGCAAGTCGGAGTTTCGGATCCCATGCCTTAATTGTGTGAAACGGCATACTCCTAGCATCGTCCTTTCGACTGTGCGTTCGATAACGTTGAGTGACTTTTCATCCTGCTTAAGCAGCGTTCAGGTTTCTAACGCATACGTTAAAGCAGGAAGGACCGTTGAGTCGAAAAGGTGGGCACGGAGTCGGGTGTTCTTTGTTCTCTTCACTACATCCTCGATGCTCTTGAAAGCTCCTCTTCTTCATAAAGACTTCATTAAGCATCGTCGGATATGATTTATTGCATATCTGGCCTTTAAAATGATTCGCGGTGGCCAACCGATGTAACGAGCCGGTGCTCCTGTCCTTCCAGACAACTCTTTTACTAATTTACAGATCTCGGAGGGATGGAGAACTTGGTGGGCCTGGGGCACGTTGTTCGATCCCATGTGTTTTACAGAGCGCCTCTGACGATTGCGCTACACATGCTTCATCATAATAAAGTTTAATATCTGTAATCTGTATCACCTGTAGTCCTGTTGATCGTAGAGTGACTCGAGCGGGCCCCAGTAAATCTTCCATTTTTCCCCGTCGCGTGAAAGAGTAGCCCAGTGGGTTCTGCTCGCTCTAGGGACTTGTCAAGTATCATATCTTTCTTTAAGACTCTGTGAAGAACTCTGACCATCGGGCGGGTGGTCTTCCTGCAGTGCGTATGATATCCCGAAGGATCCAGTCACTAACGGCTCTTGTCCATCGGTTGTCATTCATTCGAATTACGTGTCCGGCCCAACTTATCTTCGACTGTTTTTCGTACAGAACGGCATCTTTGATTTTTCATCGTTGACGCAGATCGGAACTTCGGATCTCATCCTTTACTTGTGTGGAACGGGATACTCTTAGCATATTCCTTTCGACTGCGCGTTCGATAACGTTGAGTGACTTTTCATCCTGCTTAAGCAGCGACCAGGTTTCTAACGCATACGTTAGGGCAGCAAGTACCATTGAGTCGAAAAGGTGGGCACGGAGTCGGGTGTTCTTTGTTCTCTTCACTACATCCTCGATGCTCTTGAAAGCTCCCCAAGTAGCTCGTTTTCTTCTGCTCAATTCTGGAGCTATGTCGTCCTTCATATTGATTTCCCGACCTAGAGGCCCGTTTTTTTTTAAACTGTGTTTAGTATTTTGATACTCACATATAGCTTGCTGGGCTCTGAACGTTGGGGCTTGGTATACTCACGAGTAGATTGCCAGGCACTCCCAGAGTGGACATGGAGCTTATTTGTTGGAGGCGACTCCTAACCGCCCCCCCCATATACTTCCCAGTCACTTGATTGCGGGCTTTCGGACGAATTGACTCGTAGAATACAATCCACATAAGCGAGAACACACCCACACACGCATGTATGAATATGCCTAGCAAATACCGAAAGTATGTGCCAAATCAGCGCAGCTGAAAACAGGGTGTCCATCCCCTGGATCCACCTGAGTGTCAGGGAAGCAAAGGTCGCTTTCGTCCACGATTAACCCATATCCGCCACCTGGGATGCGTCACGTAGCCTCGCGACTAACCGGCTTGAGATCTCTCATATGAGAGAGATCCGTGATATTTTGGTAAAATCCTGAAATTCTGAAACGATGAGTAGTGTGAAGGCATTTTCTGCAGCGGCTTTGTTGTCGAACATTTTCCCAGTTAGTGGTTGTCGAGATGCTGGAGGAAAAAGTGGTAGGTGATTAGTGAGAATAGTTTCGATGAATATGTTGTATGAGCGAGGATTTTCTTCTTCAACTCGTTCACCTTCCGTAGCTTTGGTTGTGTAACATTTAATACAGGATTATGTAAGGAAAATAAACATTTTTTGACTTATCTTGCATAAATACGGTTCTGGTTTTTCAAATTTTCTTCGAATGTTTCTTTGTTCTTGAGATTCAAGACATTTTATTAGATAATTCCATCTACTGAAAACAGAACCGCCTTTTAACACGAATTCACCTCCTAAAACTATTTAGGATCCCTGTCTTTCCTTCCATCCATCCTGCTTGAAATATTATGTTTTTCGTGTCGCACTCATTTTTTCATCGGATATCACAACGGTATGAAGAAATGAGATGTTCTTTTGTAATGAAAGTGACGCAGAAAGCACTTCATGACGATAATCTCGTCGAAACTTGTTGAATTCATGGGGCATCCGTTTATCGAAGTTTTTCACCCTTTCCAGTGTGTTCCAAACGACGAACGATTGATTTGTTAATGTTGGATGTTCATATAACTGGAGTAATTTTTCAAAGGCCAGCTTTGACTAGTTGCTTTAGATGGTTGTCATTAGCGGCTGAGTGGCATGCGCGAGTTTTCCGTCACGAAGACCCGTACTTACGATGCGAAACATTGTGAATCATCTTTGCAGATTCTCTGGGAAACATTTCGTTTTCTATGGTTTAATATTGTCAGTGATTTCATTGGGTTCGTATCCAAGTCTGAGCTCATTAAACGACATGGTTTCCATGACCTGGGAGAATCGTTGTAACCAACCTGAAATCATTGAGATTTGGTTGTTTAGAAAAAGTATCACGCTACAAACTGTTAGAAATCAAATGTCTTAAAATAGGATCAATATCAAAATAGAATTACTGTTCTGTGGATGAGAAAACACTGGGTTGTTGTAACGGCATTTATGCATTCCCAGGGACTGTTTCGGCGGTTGCACCGTCTTAAGTGCTTGAAAGAGTTAAATTGGCATGCAGTCTACTCAATCAAACACCATCATAGGAAGATAAAAAAAAAGCTCGGCGTTGATCAATCTCTGAGAGATGCGCCATGCAATCGACTTCATTAAGCATCGTCGGATATGATTTATTGCATATCTGGCCTTTAAAATGGTTCGCGGTGGCCAACCGATGTATCGAGCCGGTGCTCCTGTCCTTCCAGACAACTCTTTTACTAATTTACAGACCTCGGAGGGATGGAGAACTTGGTGGGCCTGGGGCACGTTGTTCGATCCCATGTGTTTTACAGAGCGCCTCTGACGATTGCGCTACACATGCTTCATCATAATAAAGCTTAATATCTGTAATCTGTATCACCTGTAGTCCCGTTGAACGTAGAGTGACTCGAGCGGGCCCCAGTAAATCTTCCACTTTTCCCCGTCGCGTGAAAGAGTAGCCCAGTGGGTTCTGCTCGCTCTAGGGACTTGTCAAGTATCATATCTTTCTTTAAGACTCTGTGAAGAACTCTGACCATCGGGCGGGTGGTCTTCCTGCAGTGCGTATGATATCCCGAAGGATCCAGTCACTAACGGCTCTTGTCCATCGGTTGTCATTCATTCGAATTACGTGTCCGGCCCAACTTATCTTCGACTGTTTTTCGTACAGAACGGCATCTTTGATTTTTCATCGTTGACGCTGATCGGAACTTCGGATCCCATCCTTTACTTGTGTGGAACGGGATACTCTTAGCATACTCCTTTCGACTGCACGTTCGATAACGCTGAGTGATCTTTCGTCCTGCTTACGCAGCGACCAGGTTTCTGACGCATACGTTAGGGCGGCAAGTACTATTGAGTCGAAAAGGTGGGCACGGAGTCGGGTGTTCTTTGTTCTCTTCACTACATCCTCGATGCTCTTGAAAGCTCCACAAGCCGCTCGTTTTCTTCTGCTCAATTCTGCAGCTATGTCGTCCTTCATATTAATTTCCCGACCTAGATAGATATAGCTGGAGCAATCAGAGATATACGTTCCGTTGAACGTGAATGGGGCATGCGAAACCAATCCGTTCTTCATGAACATCGTTTGTATGAGATTTGGTCGGAGACCAATCTTTCCACAGGCTTTATAAAAGTCGTCAAGCATTCGTTACGCTTGGCTAATGTTTGGTGTTATAAGGACGATGTCATCAGGAAAGCGAAAATTGTGTAACTGCCGACCATCGATTTTCAATCCTATATTATCTCATTCCAATGTTCACATGACATGCGGTAAATAATTTGGGCGAGATGATATCGTATTGCCTAACCCCTCTTTTGACGTTAATGTTATTGTCGTTGTAGAATGGTGATGTCTTGGTTGTGAGATTTTTCTACAGCTTACAGAGGACCTTTACCTACTGAGTAAGGACTCCTTGACTATCAAAGGCTTCCAAGACTGCTTCTATCTCAACTGAATCAAAGGCCTTCTGTAAATCGGTGAAAGTGGGACAGTGCGGTCTTTTGTACTCTCGCGATACTTCAGTGAGCCTTGTTATCGTGTGGATATGGTCCTTCGTACTAAATCCTCTTCGAAACCCTGCTTGCTCACATGGTTGTCCTTCGTCTAGTGTCCTCTCAATCCTGTTTAGGATAACTCGAGTGAAAGTTTGTAGACGACAGCAGATTGGGCGATAGTTGCCGATATCGTGTAGGTCACCCTTCTTGAACAATAACACGGTCGTGCTGGTCTTCCACTGAGTAGGAACCTTGCATTCAGACATGTAACGTGTGAAGAGCTGAGCCAGTGTGTTTACGAGGACTCGCGGAAGGTTCTTCAGGTGTTCTGATCTTATCCTGTGATGAATTAGTGCTGTTCGATTTTCCACCGACGAAATGGCATGTCGGATTTCGGAAGGGAGAACTGGTGCTACAACATATCCTAGAACTCCCCGTGAACACTCACCGTTTTGCTCTTTATATGTGCTTTAGTTATTATTGCAGACTAACCGCATAGAGGCCTTACATGGGTTATGGATATCAGGTTCAAAAAGAAATCTGATGTATGGCGCGAGAACGCGCGTTATATTCATCCTTGCAGTTGATTTTTAGGTTCTTGGAAGTTATCCCGAATGCTTTGTGAACTTTACGTGCTGATGTTTTGGAGTCCTGTGCGAAGGTGGTGACTTGTACTTTAGAATCTTCTTTGTTATGTTGCTGCCTCCTTCACCTCACTAGTTGAGTGTATCTGGTTTAATCAGCACGTATTCTTTTATTGATGAGTTAAGACGCGATGGAAAAAGACCTTATTCGGCCAACGTTTGATAATGATGATGATAATGATGGTGGCTTCCCTCTTCCTCAAAGCCGGATTGATCCCAGTCCATTGTTTCCAGTCCTTCCTTCTTCCAATGTGGATTTTCATGATCGCGTCCACTGGAATCGAGTTTCGAATGGAGAACCTCATGCAGTGCTATCTGGTACGGAATATCATTATCAGCTACTACAGAGTTTAACAATATTTCGAATGCGAAATATATGGTGTAAAATAAAAAAATCTTTGATGTAAATATATAATACCACTTCTATAATAAACATCACTCAGAATCACTACTATAGTTACTGCTACCGGCTTTTCTAAACCGGCCATTTTTAAGCAACGTTCTGTAGCTGTATTTATTTTCTTGGAAATGAAGGGCTGGACAAACGGGACCCTATTTTCACCGGACCTATCGTTTCTTGGTGTAGTTTCTCCTCTGAATTACCACGCATGTCAACCGTTTCGTAGCAATTGGAAATGGCTATTTTTCTAGCCAAGTTCAGTGATTCCTCCTTCTTGAGCACACAGTGGTGGCTGTTTGAAGCATATTTCCCACAAAGGTCTCTTTTGTATGTCAGTGGTGAGAGGAGAGGATGTGAACCAGTATATTTTCGTCACTTGGATTTCGCTACTGTTTGCTGATGTAGCTGTTTTCAAATAGGTTGATTTTAATGTTCAAAAATTGAAACCAATTTCCTTTCGGTTTTTCTGGGGGTGAATGTTATGTAACCTGACTGTTGGTTTAGCAGCTCAAAACACTTGTTTATGTTTAGCAGATAATAAAGTTAATTTTTTCGAGTGTTTCGTCCGAAAATACGCGCAAATTGATGCCTACTTCACTGTTGGGTTCTTGCAGTCCAAATAACACTTCGCGAAAAGGAGGTGGTGGTAGTGCCCGTACTACTTGTTTTTTGTTGTTATATAACGTGTATAGTCTACCATTGTCACGGAGTCGATCTTGAAGTTTATATAGACTGCATGCGATTCTACGCGAAATTTCTTTAGTGTTGCGCTGACGAGAAACTCGGACCTAATTCTAATGGCGAGTACGCGCCATCAGACGGAGTCATGCTTTCTAGGACGCTGCTTGTTGAGTTTTCTGGCACGTTATCGACCCTTATTTGACCCTTGCTGTTTTCGTAAATGCTGTTTCCATGTTCCATTCCTCTTAATAGGATTGCAAATAATATTAACGCACCCATTATTCTCTAATGGTGAGCCTCTAAATATTGAACACAATAAATGTATTTGTAAAATTCATCATGTAAAGATCTGTCATCATTTTTCACCGACCAATTGAGAATTTCCGTGTGGAACTTGTTTATTTTATATCTTTTTCGGAGGGATAAGTTTCAGAACATATTCATCAGAGAAGTTTAGTATTCTTGTAAGGTATGTCGCACCTTTTCAGAAAAAGATGTGGCTCGCACTGATCGTTCAATGGCGTTCTTCAGTGGTGATGATAACCCAAACCTAACAATGTTGCAAAATGTTTTGATGACCTACGTCATGTATAATTTCGACCTAGGTAGGATACTAGAGTCCAGTTGGTTCAGCGTTATTTCCTGCTACTTACACGAGGCAAACCTTCCAACTTTTTTGGCATAAGCTGTACCTGTTTCTTACAAGTATCTGCATTTTTTACTTCTTTTCCTGGTTCACTGTTTCAGGTTATGTACAAGGAATGAGTGATTTTGCTTCTCCTTTGCTTTACGTCATGGAAAATGAGGTGGACACATTTTGGTGTTTTGTTGAACTGATGGAAAAAGTTGTGAGTTTCTTCAAAACGTCTTTACGGGTTTCAAAACATTTTTAATGTTTTCTTTTCTTGCCGACATGTTGGTATTGCCTATATCTCACAGCTACCGGTCTTTCTTTAGAGGTCTTCTTCGATATTTTAAGACCTGGTTTTGAACTTTCGCATTCGAGTCTCTCTTAATTTGTCTGTCCGTCTAGCATAATTTGGTTTCATTGTGAGAAACGGTGCGGTCTGAGAAACTCCACAAATGTCTCAGTGCTTTCCTCAACAGCAACAACCTTATTTCATACCCTTGGTGCACAGTAAGCAGTTGTTATCAGCAGCACTCATGTGGTACTTGCGTGGCATAAACGTATTCGTTATTTGGTAACGAGGAAGCAGCGCAGTGGTAGTAATGTCGGTTATCACGAGTAAGGTGCTGGTTCCACTCCGCAGCAGGCACACTAAGCCACTCTGAACCCTCGGGCTCCTGAAGTTGCTGCCAGACCTATCCAGAAAAAGCGCACTGTGCAACCCAAGTGGGAAAACCGTAGCTCGACTATCTCAGGACTCGAAGGAAAATCGACACGATAAGCATTCAACGACATTCATTAGGAAAGCGAAATCCTTAAGTGGCGTCCAAACCTAAATGCAAAAGAAGGACTTCGTGGATGGTGGAAGCAAGGAGGCAAATCGAATCAGAAGTGCTGGGATCCTATTCATCGGCAAACGAATCTATGTTACTCTGTGAGTAAAGTGGTATGGTGTCATTGTGGGACCCATGGTTACAAGCAAGCAAACCTAAACCCCATCAGTGCTGTGGTTCTAAAAGAAGCTTTTTTTCCTTAATTTATTATTTTATATAGACCAACTCTAATGTCGGTCAAAAACTCCATAATGGGAATGTTATTGATTTAGTACAAATAGTGTTCGAGACAAAGTCTATTTGACTTTTTAAGCGGTCAGAAACATGAGCGCTAGCGACTTTATTATTCCCATGACGAATCTTTTAAGATTTCTTGAAGTTATGACTTGTTTGCATTTTCAGTGATTTAAATGTGGTCTGATCGTGGTATGATTTTATTACTTTTTCTTTTGTCAAGGTACAGTTTATGGACTTCCTATGAACACTTTTCCAAAAGATCGCCGGAGTTTGTCCTTTCAGAACTTGACGGGTCGAATAGATAATTCATTGAATAGTTGTTTTCAACCTTGGTCCAGTGCCTTCGTGAAGGAGTATGGCAATTGGGTCACTGATGTTTTTGTTGCGCGCTTGACATCCCCTGAAATTCAACTGCTAACAGCGGTTTTGTTCATAGACTGTCGTTAAGACGTATCGTAAGTCTAGGCTATCTGGTTCTGGACACCTGGTAGATGGCAGCATCGCCGATCTTCGATCGCAGCGTGCATTCGAGCTTAAGATTGCTTCTGTTAGTACCTGATATGAGAGATACTCCGAACATTATCCTCTCAGTGCCACATTCGATAATGTTGAGTGAACATGTATGCTGCTTACGTTGCGTCCAGGTTTTCATGACGTACGTTAATACTATAAGAATTGTTGAGCTGGAAAGATGGGCATAAAGCAATATGCTTTGTTCGTTATGATACATCCTTAACGTTCTTGTAAGCTTCCCATATCGCTCATATTCTTCTGCTCAGCTGTGAAGACAAGTCAGTAATCGTGTTTACTTCTCGATGCACTTGCACATGATATATGGACGCACTGGAAGACAGTCAATCACTCTGAGCAGGAAAAAATCTTAGCTGTGCTTTTGTGCGTCGGGAGACAATGTGCTTAGTCATGTAATTAGCTGCATCTCGGAGGAGCTTGTGGATACGTTTCTCAACCGTACCAGCTTCAGTTCTTTTATTACTGCTCAGGAGAACTTTGCCAGTTAGTGCCTGCGGTTCGTACGACTCGATTTCATCTTGGGAATATCCGGAGAAAGACATCCGTTGGTGTCTTTATTACTTCGGTGTTCAGCGTTATTTCGAAGCTGTTGGATGACCCAATCGTTCTCCTCGTCGGCGTTCTTAATAACAACGTTTTTTCAAAATCAGGCTAGTGAAACAAAAATGTTCTTTTTTACGAAAAAACGTTTGGCTTATGTGTATGCTCTAGTTCGTTGTCGTAATCTGCACTAGAAGCACAAAAGTGCTAGGGATGCATTTCTGGGACTGTTTGTTAAAATGAATAATCATAGTAATCATAATAAACTAAAATTGCCTTTCACCGTGTTCATTGTGCTCATATACATGGAACTCGATGTGTAACTCTTTATACGGTCCCTTATCCATTCTTCGCGTTCGGGTCACCAGTGGTGCACTTGCATACATACGATGCTTTCTTGTAAAACTTTAGGGTGAAAGGATGCTCAACCTTTTCTTCGTCAAAAGTTAATGTGGAGAGTAAGCGACGAAGGATGTCATAGTCATCTTTGGTTCAGGTCTTTTCGCCTAAGCAGTTTATCCAATTCTTTTCGGTCAAGCGATTCGCGTGTTCAGTTATTCAAATGAATTGATGTTCATGATGAAGCTCGTGTTGGCAAACAAATTAACACAAATAAACATTGAGGTGTGTGGGTCAATTTTGGCCAATCCGACCACGTCGTACTTGATCCTCTCAGTTTGAATCATAGACTCTCAATAGAAAACTCGGTTGCTACCTTTGCAACTTATCGACGGAAATCCTTGATCAATTACCAACTCATTCTAAACTTTTTTGGTCGAACTAAAATCTTTGGAATCTACAGTTTTCTCTTCAACAAAATGCAAGTTTCATTCTATGCTTCAGGAGCGGATTTCTCATCTGCGACTTGATAAGTGAAAGTTTTTAAAGTAATTGATAGTTGAAATACCTTAAAAGTCATTTAGCTGAAAGTGCTGTAAGTGCATTCACTAAGAAAGAGTTACATATTGAATTCTTGCATATTATGTGGTGTTAGTTGTCTGGAGCGTTGTCACATATTGCACATTTTTGTGCGAGAGAGCTGACCTTTTTCTGTTATTTGGTGGTGTTTTTAGACGGTATAACATTTAAGAACTAAAAAGGAAACGTTAAAGTTCGGTTATACAAAACAAAGCTCTTTTCTGAACAAATCAATACTCTGTGATTATCTATAAAATCGACTCTATATCTCAGATTTTATGGGCGCGTGTGGCGCAATGGTCGGAGGCGCTCTGCAACATACACGTGGAATCGGTCTTCACGCTCATGGCCCACCAAGCCTTCCATGCCTCCGGAGTCGGTAAATTGGTACCAGACTTGTCTGGGAAGATAGCAGCACTGGCTCGATACATCGGCAGGCCACCGGGAGTCATTGTGAAAGCCAGACATGAATTCAATCACCTCCAACGATGCTTAATGAAGTCGAATGCATGGCGCGTCTCTCAGGGATTGATCAACACCGAGAGTATTATCCTTTTATCCTTTATCTCAGAATTTAACATTCGGAACTTCTTGTCAAATCTAAACCTTATCCAGAATTTGTTCTTTTGAGTGCTTATAAATATAGATGTTTTCACAAGCAAAACTGCTTGTTGTGGAACTAGTTACCTCAATGTTCCATATTGATTCGTTTGCTTTCTTTTCTTGTAAAATACTCAGACATCTTTTCAATTTTCTTCATACCTTATTTCCAACATGTTCGACTTCCAATGTCTCCTATTATGCCGTGGATTTGTAGTTGAGAGGTCAGATGGTTTTTCTCTATCTTCCAACAGAAGATATTCTGTTATCCCGTGCATTTAACGTGGTTCACAGATAATTCGTACTTCTAGATTGCACTTTTCCGGATTGCATACAAATGTGAACGCCCATTCACATAAATCAGTTCATTGTCTATCAAAATAACCTGTCTCTAGATACGTTAGCATATCCGTTTATTGCTATTTCTAGTCATTTTCGGAGCTTTTATTATTCAATATCGCTTCAGCCGTAGAAACAGGGCACGTCGACAAGCAAAATTGGCCAGCCGTGAATGTTAAATTCGGTAATATGCTTTACGCTTCCAGCCGTCTTCCTGTCAGCAAGAATGTGATGAAGCAGTTCGTATACTATCCACCTAGTGTTTCTTTGAACTATCTGTTCTTTTTTCCTTCCTATACGTTTTCCTTCTATCAAGCGCTACGCTCTATGCGAATATTTTACTTAATGAGAAAAATTTTAGATTTTCTTAATTGGTCCTCGATATTCTTGTCGAACAAACACGAGGCGTTACTTTATTCGTTATTCCGTTAAAGCTGTCATTTCGGCATTATCGCCTTCTTCAGAGGCTAGAAAGGCGGTCGTCGGAATTTATTAATTGGGTTGTAAATCTTGGCGAACTGACACTATCCTTATTGTTTTCGAAGGGGTTCGGTCGTTTAGTTCATTGCTTAGCTGCAACGTCTCCAGTTTGTTTTAATTGGATTGAATTATTCGCGACGATGCACTTTGATTTCAGTGCATCTTAATTTCGGTAATTCCTTTTGTTGCATAGGCTTCTGCCGCACTTTTTGTGCCCATTCGATAGCATCTGCGCCAGTAATGCTGTGTGTAGACTCAGTAATCTATAAAGAAACTTTTTCGGACATTTTTGTTCGTTAACTTACGGAGATTGTTGTTGCTGAGGGGAGCATCAGGATATCTCATCTGGGAAGAATAACACATGAGTAAAATGCTAGGATGGCTCTGTTGCACAAATGCTAGTATATATGTCGCAACAGTTAATTGCGTTTTGTACGGTGCAGGTGTCGTAACAATCTCGCGACGGTGTGATTTATGGCAGTCATTTCAAGCTTACCGGAGTGGCGGTTATAACACCCATAGGGTTCATTCCGCCGACAGTGACTTACCCCAACACAGGGAATCGATCTCCCACGCTTCCCACGACAATTGGTATCCCGTGGGACACTATTTCATTGATAATATAGTCTGAAGTTGTTCGGCTAGCACTTCAACGTCTTTGTCCTCCTCATGGCTGATGATCCGAGTCGATGGTCCACGTGCGTTCTCGTTCTCGATGTAGTGTCTTCATCATCGTAGCGCTGTGCTATGTTGGACGTTCTTCTGGAAATGCTGTATTGTGCACTGAGAAATACAAAAAAGTTGCTTGTGGAACAGTGACTGAAAAGTTCACTGGTCAATCAGTTGTTGTTGAAACTCTAATTCCTGTAAAAGAAGGATCATTACGGATAAAGGATAAAGCTGTCGGCATTGATCAGTCAGTGAGGGATGCGCCATGCATTCGATTTCATTAAGCATTTTTTGGAGAGGGGTGAATGCATATCTGGCCTTTACAGTGACTCGCGGTGGCCAACCGATGTATCGAGCCACTGCTGCTATCCTCCCAGACAAGTCTGGTACAATTGTACCGATTACGGAGTAATGGGAGACTTGGTAAGCCTTTAGCGCGATGATCGATCCCATGTGTGTTGATGCCTCCAATTGTTGCACTACGCGCCCATCCCCTAATTGTTGTAGTGGATCACAATTGTACAGTGTGTGATGTATTGCAATAAAGACACATAACTGGCAGAACAATTCAAAGTACTGACAGCAATATTTTTGTAGAATTGGAAATAGGATTATGTAGCAAACAGCATTATGTATATCGTTGGTACACATAGAACGACAGAGCAAAGTCCATTATAAAATCCTGTCATGTCCTCAACTCATCAGACTTTCCAGCTATTGAAGAATTATTGTTTATTCAAAGAAGTGTAAAAAACAAGCAAGTCGATAAGATTTGAAAATTAGGCGTCGTCGAGAGAGTGTTAAAGACAGTTGTTAGTGGAAGAGCCAGTTAACATACCTTTTTCTCTGGGTGCAATGCACAGCATGCATTGACTTCAACATAGTTCGCAGTCGTGGCAAACTAGACGTCTTATCATACTGTAGACACCGAAAATAACGTGAGCTCATGAATGCGTTATTGATCAGTTTCGTGTTTCAGCAACGGAACTTTGAAAAAGATCAAGCTGCTATCAAGCTTCAAATGTATCAGCTACGTGACCTGGTGATGATAGTCAATCCACAGTTAGCGAATTACTTAGGTAAGTTGGATGTTTTTCAAAACTTTGCCCCACAACTTTCTACTGGAAGCGAATGTAGTTAGTGAAGGGCTCGATTCATCTTGTATTAAATTAGTTCTTCTTCCGTGGTCCTTCTAGCTGGAATAATGCCATCAAATAACGTGCCCTACAGGATTTGATCGTTGACTTTGTTGTTTTTCCTTCAAGTTTTTTTTCTTTTTAATTTAGAGAGTCATCAATCCGACGACATGTATTTTTGTTTTCGATGGGTTCTTGTGTGGTTCAAACGTGAACTTTCATTTGTGGATACCTGCAAACTATGGGAGGTAACGGCTTTCGATGAAAACACTTTGTCTGAAAGTAATTCCATACAGTGATGTAACCAGAAAAAAGTTTAGGTGTTGTGGACTGGTCAACCGTGCCCAAATTTCTTGTTGCTCATTTGCGTAGCAATTCTTGACGGACAGATGAACGTTATAATCGACAATAAGTTCGGACTAACCGAGATTTTAAAGGTGTCATTAAAATTGCAATGTTTTTATTATGAATTGGTTCAAATTTTTAGAGATATTTTCTTGAAATCTCATGTAGATTTGGAAGTGGAGATGTAAGAGAAGCTCACCAACTATGGCAGTCTACACTTCGCTATTTCGAAGGAAGTAATCAATGTGGAAAAACTGTCAAAAAATGTATTTTTGCCGCAGACTTGGTGATATATGGGAGCAGCTATTGTTTCTAGCTATAAATCCGAGAAGGACACAGCTCGTACTTTGAGATATTCAGAAATCAGTTATTTTAAATGGCATGACGTTTAATTTGAGAAGACTAGGAACGAAAAGCTGAATGAGAAATGATGTTAAACGTACAACAGCTAGAAAATGCTTGTAGAACGAATGTGCAGGAATTTCGCCCATTACCACCTATTTATAAATTTAGTGGGACACATGCTTTATTGTTCTTTGTGTTAGTGATTCCTTCCTACACAGAAACGTCGTTTGTTCGCATTATCTCAGTCTACTTTGTGTTGAAGCTTTTGTAGATTATTGCTAAAGTTTTAGTTCCATTTATTTTTATGGCCTATGTTACTAATTGTTCCAACGGGTTTACCGCCTCTTCATGGTTGAGAGTTGTTCCTGGGTGTCGAGCTGGGATGTACAGCGGGGGGATTCATCCCTTTGGCAAGGTCTCCCAAGCTGAGAAGGGATCCGGCGTCTCCATCAGGAAACCAGCTAAGAGTAAACCAATACCAGGATCTCTCACCGTCCTGGTAACAAACTAGTCGCATGGTGGCAGATGTCTCTCTGATCCACAAGAGCGGCGACTGCTTGTGGTGGAGACGACCTAGGGCAGACTTTGCGCTGGCTGATGTCGGGATTCCGGGGAACCACATTGGCCAAACCAGCAAAACTCCGAAAAAATTGAGATTATGCTGGAGCCCTCATAACAAGTGAGGAAGGGCCATCCAAGTATCCAAGAATTACTAATACAACCACAATAATGCTGAGATATTTGCAAAACTTGGACCCCAGGCCAGGTCGAACCGCTATTACCTTTTCCAAGAGCGTACATGTTACGTTGGGGCTGTGCGTATCAGATGACTCCGGAAGGGGAAATCACGGTTCGATCTGTTTTGGAGTTAAAGTTTTAAAAATATCTCAGCATCGTTATGATTGTATTTCGCGTAATGCCCTGTTATGAAAAGAATAATGGGTTGTAGATAGAAGTTACACGTTGTATCATTAATATCGTGGTGTGGTGCTTCATTGTTCTCTGAATTGTAGGAACGCATCCCATTATAGGTGAACCGTATTAGTTGTAGCAATATTAGGATATTTCAGCACGTCAACGATCTCTCTATGCACTTAGTGCTCGACGATATCTTGACAGCAGCGGAAGCAATTTTCCATCAGTTATCAGCGAGTCAGGATAAGTTACCAGCTCACATTTGCGATTATCTCAATCTTGGCGAAGGAGTTAGTTTAATGACTTTTCTCTGCCTGATTTTTATCACAGTTCCATGACGAACAGTATGTTTCCGGATTGTTTTTTTTGCAGGCCGCAATTTCTGACCAGTAGCTCCAGCAGGTGGTGTACTGCTAATGTTTCAGTCGAAGAAAGTGAAAGATATCCTAAATCTGACTTCTAATACGTGCTTGTCCTTCGCTGTGGTTTATCACTGCAGCTTTCACAATATTGAGAGCTGATGCTTGAATTTGTAATCGTTTTCTAAGGGGAACAATACCAACCACCTGTGCATTTCGTGATTACCATAACCATCAAGGCTTTGATTGATTGCATTATATCTTTGGTAATTGGTTTTTTGTATTGGATATTGTATCTATTCCATTGTAAAATACACCATCTGTGTACCTTGTTAATTTACATTTTCGCTTCTGGTTTTTGTTACGTGTTACTTTTTATTAGTGATATTACTGTGATCGGTTACTCTCAGTGTGTTTTCTAGAAAACTTTGTAAAAAAAAAAGGAAGGAAGGAGAAACTTCTAGGGAGATAGAGTTGAATATGGCAGCTATGTATCCTCTGTGGTTTAGCTCTGTAACGTTCTATTTGTGTGAAATGTAAAATCACCTTCCTTTAAATGTTATTTGTGAAATCAGATTTTCGTGTACTGTCCAAATTGTACTACTTGTAGTACCTGTACGTCAAACAATAATATTAAATGAGGATTTATAGCTGTGTAGATACTTGATGTTAACCGTTTACCCTATAAATCTGTCGAGTTAAAGGAGTAAACATCTCTATACATGAAAACGTTCAGCAGATTCTGATCGCCATAGTATTTAAGGCGTTCAGCCTGTTAAGAGTTTCGTACTAGCACTATTCTGGATCTTGTGAATGCTACTCAATCCATTTTCGGTTTTCCATGAATGGATTCATATCTTTGTTTTCCGTTAAACCACGGATTGTGTTCTGCATAGAGACGTGAACCGAGTTTTTAACGGTTTAGACTGGGCGGTAATGGGGAGATTACTGGCAAAACTTTGTAACATTTTAATGTTCGACATAGTTGTAGATAAATTTGAAGAATAAATGGTTTTGATTTCCGAACAGGCAAAGTATGTTGGTGTTCGCTATGAATCGACATTTCTATTGCCATAGTAGATTTCAAGATAATCGTACTCTTAACTGGTAATTTCTTCCTGTTAAAGTTTGAGCACATGAGAACAAATGGTTCGCAAGAGATTTTATATAAGTATGGCTTCAGTCCGACAATGTTTGGATTACTATAACCTAACAATTTTTGTTTTAAGCTATTCAGCGCTTGCTTTCGAGTCCGTGCTTATTTCTCGCTGAACTTTGGACGATACGACTCTTCCCGAGGCCTGTTGACGGCTGCCCAGTTGAATGGAGTCAAGCTGCCAAATTACTCAGAAATTAACTAGTAACTTGCTCAGAACGAATAAGAAGCGCTGCCAATGAAGCCGAGCTCCCACTTTTAAGCTATACACTTTAACTAAGCTTTACTTTACCACTACAACCGATATAGATCGTTGTATATCGAAATATAAGGCGATAGATGTGTTACTTATTCGTAATATATCGATATATAAGCTGTAATGGTGTTCCTGGAACGGGGTACGATCTAGAGTTCAGTCGTATGTGGGTGGTACAAAGTGTGATAGAGTTTCTTAGTTTACTCTTTAATGATAGCGTCCGTCTCTAAGTTGTTAATTTACTGGTAACAAGGTGTATTCGGGACGAGATTGCTTGGGGGTGTTGGTAGAGACATTCACTGATTTTCAACTATTTTCGTACGAATTCTGAGGTGGATATTACTGAGCACAGCCTATGGGTAGTGATTTTTCATTGATTATGTGACCTTAAGCACTAATTTACTAGTAGTTACTTTTCAAACTGAGAAGAGAAAAGTGGGAGGAGTTCAGGATGTGGCTGCTTGACCCTACCCTGCCTGGCGGCAGTATGCTGGTTTAGTCAATACGGCTAGTTGTTGAGAAACTAGCAAATTCGAGTTCTCTGCTTCTGTTTTTACTCTGCTTTTATTTAAGAAAATAACATTTTCACTAGGGTAATCGAGTGCTTATCTTGACCGATGTGGTGGAAAAAAAAAAGATGAACGTTAGATGAAGGTGTTGCTTGGTTTTTTTTCGTGTGCTTCCTTCGTGCTGCTAAGAAATGAGGTGCACAGATCTCTGTCCAGACGGGTATTAAGCACTCTTTAACTCTCGAAATGAACATAACGTAGTCTACTTGCTAAGGCATTAATCAAAATCTGCTCCATTCTCGATGATGATCAGTTTTTGGACGTGGTCGTACGTGGCCTGTCCATTTTTAGAAGTTTTACTCCTCTAACGCCTTTTTTTCAAATTGTTCATTTTTTTTTGAATTTTAGATAGGCATGAGAGATTCTGAAAATGGTTTCATAGGAAACTAAGATTAAAAAAATACTAATGAATATAACGTCAATAGCTAATGCGCTCGATTGACTGTGATCTGCTCTTGGCGCGAATTTTAAACACCTTTTATGGTTGCACATTCAGATGTTCAGTGAAAGAAACTTTATGCTTAATTTTCCCAACTTTTCTAGTTTTGTCGTTATTATGTAGCTTCTTTTTTTTACTTAGAAAGCTTCTAAGTTTTTCATGGAGATATGCATAAGATTAAATGAAAGAAAAAGTCCTTTGTCGGTGTCTGTGTGGGATCATCTGTCGCGTATGGGTTACTATTTGAAATCGTGTTCGTGCTCTTTTTTCTTGTAAAATGTTTTCTTCCTGCTTTTTCTTTCTACTGAATTTCCGTTTCTCTCTAAGCAATCGTATTCGGTTTTTGTAACCCTACTTCTTAACTAGCTGAGTCCGTTTAGAATGACTTTTGTAGGCAGCACTGTTTTCAAACGTAATTTCTTCTACGAGTTGATCGATTGTCATTTACTGTTGATATTTTTTTATACTCTTTCGCTGATCATTACTGGACAAATTTCCAGGGTTTTTCCGGCCGGTCACTGAGGTCAATGAGTCCGCGTAAGAAGCGCGCTCGACTTGTTCGTTCGTCGTCTAGTGTAAGTCCTGTTCGTTATTCGCTTTATTTGTTCATTTGTTCATCGATCAATTTGGGATATGAATATTGATCGGATATAGTCCGACTCACAATGGTTTCTGAATGGAGTACGTTTATTGTCGTCAGGTAACTGTAAGCATTTCGTGTTAGAGTAGGAGTGAAAGCTGCTAGCTGGCTTTTCGCTCGTACTTGGTGGATACTTGTGCATCCTAAAGTTGAATAGAAGTAAATTATCTGTGTGAAGTTGTTAGAAAAGCAAAAGTACAAGATTTTATTGAAACTCTTGTTTATTTAGTACTAGTGAAGTAAATGTTTAAATTAGGTCCTTCTTTATTTCACAATACCAATAGCTTACAGTTTATTGTTTTTTTTTTCGTCGGTGTTTTTTTTTTCAGAATTACAGTCGGGATTCTAGAGGTTACGGACAGAATAATACGCTTCCCTTAGGTTTTTGTGTGCAAAGTGTAACTGTCGGTTCTTTCTCTTATGTGTGTAGCATCTCGTGGAACCCACTAGGTGCTAAATCTGATTTCCCATTTTCCATGAAGACACATAATGAATGTGTCCGTAGGACAGGACCTGATTTTTGGCATCCTGGACGTAAATGACGGCGTGTCTGACCTTTGGTCGTCAGTGTATGTGGGATCTCTTCCCTCCCTTGGTTGATGCGGAGTACTGCTAGTATCACTGTGTCGATAGGAGTTTGATAACGTTGACCACTCTTTTAACCTATTTTTGAGAGATTGGTTAAGGAATGAAGAGTCGTAATTTCGAGGAGTTGGATAGGGAGCTAAGTGTTTTTGTCTTCAACTCATTCTTAAAGAACATCGAAACAAATGCGTTTTCTACGAATACCATTTCATCTAAGTTCTACCGAAGACCAACTTTTTCAAATCGAGTTAGACAAAAGTCAAATAGCCGTTCTTGAGCAATGCTTGCTATGGGAATTAGTAAAGCGAATATTGTGAAGCTGTCAGCCGTCAACTTGAACTTCCATGTTATCGCAATCCAGTTTTCACCTTCCGTTTTCGAGAGTAACGATGAATAACTCGGTGACATATCGCCCTGGTAAACCTCGATCTTCATGTTTACAATGTTAATTTCGTTATTCTAAAAAGCACCAACTTTATACCACCAACCAACCGTTGCTGTATCGCCTGTGACATGTACTAAATACGCAGTTCTGTTTTATTTTGAATATGCTGCCATCTGTTCTTACAGTTTCTGTCGAACCTACGGTCTATTTTGGATCGTTGAAATACCAGCCCACTTTTCATCGACCTTGTATTCTGACAGACAACATTTGGAAGGTCGGGTCAGTCTGTTGATGGAGATCGCCATTTTTCGTTTAAATGTGTGGCTCTTACCTTATATGGATCAGGTTTTGTACGTGATTTATTTTCAAAGCTAAATATGATGATATTGGGGTATCATTACTTGATTTTTTGAAGTTTATCTGCTTTCTTTTATGCGAAAAATCATGTGCGAAGGAAGAGGTAATGTAAACCGCTATAAACCTGCAGCATGTAACATAGCGCTATTGGTTAGGCCAAAGTTCCGTTTTGAGGTGATGTAGTTACTTTTCTTGTGGTACTACTCACTGATGTACTCCCATGCCCAGCGTTAAAGAAAGAAGCTCTGAATTCGCGATTTAACATTAGTGGTCTTGATCATCATAGGAAACTCAAGCAGTCCTTCGCTTTTATTCCTCCTCACTTCGTATGTCTTAATTTGAACTACCAGGATTGAGGATTTATCTCGTTATGTGGGGTCTATTGAGGATCTTTGTAACGTTGATGGTCTAATCGCAGAATTCGATGCAGTACTAAGAGGATCTAAGTTGTGAAGGGAAAATTTCTCATCGCTCTGAATGAAGCGATAGCTGCTTCTGTTGAAGACGTGGGAAAGCTCTAGCCATTATCAGCTTAGGAATTCAGAGAAAACCACGTTCCACTATCATTCAGTATGTCGATGACGGGGGAATGTACAATTCACAGGTGGCAGTTTCAGCCGAACCAGCCGTTGGCTCGGATCATTGCCGTGGATAACAGTTGCGAGGTAATGAAATGAATGGAAGAAGTCCGTTGACTGTCACTATTTGTAAAGATGGGTCTTCTAAGTAAATATATAGTAGACTCAAGGAAAGGGTCATGACATTGGAGTTGTCGACATTCACCTCATTCAAAGGGATTAATGATAATTGCCGTGCTCATATTGTCGAGAACCCCATTTATGCTTACTCCCTAACTGCCACATGCCCCGAGGAAGAGTTGCTCTACAGTACCAAAGACGCCGTCTTATGGGCGTTCTGTACTCATCTTGGCCGCGTCTGTTATGTCGTACTTAATCCTCTTAGTTTGCCTCAACTCTTCTTAACATTGTCAGGTTTTTAATAGAGGATCAGATGCTAGTTTGCGAGAGTTACAAGTAGAAAGCATCATCGTTGTTCTTGTTGACTTTAACGGTGCCAGATAACCTTGAAGTTTTGGCAGTTTCTCCGCATTTGTCCTGCATAACACTCTTTTACCGAAGATTGTTTTTAGAGTAGGACGTATTATTTGTTGAAACTTCGTGCTTCTGACTCTGTACCGTGTTTCCATTTGTTCCCATTCATTGGACACTAGCAGTCAACGTGCGAGACACCCTCCTTATGTGCAAGTAATATCACGTACGTATTCCGCACCTTTCCCTTACACCTACTTGTTCAGGTGATTTAGACCTTTAATCTGATACGATGGGTATGAACTTAATGTAAGTTCCTTACTCGCTATTGCTTCGCGGCATTTCATTTGACATGCTAAATAACAACACTTTATTTTTGGCCTGATATTCCTTTTCCATAATTATCTTTTGGCTGTTTTTCCTTTGCCGAATATAGTTCACAGTTTTTATGTACAGATGAGCCCATTTAGTTGTGAAACAGCTTTTTTACCTTCTTAGATTCTTTTGAAATACATATCCTTTACAGAGTTCAGTTGAGTTCACGGAATCACAGAATCGAAAACGAGGCAGCAATCGAGTTGCAAAACATCGAGTTACGGTAATTGTATGGTTTCCTAAAGAAAACCATCTACCTAACTGCATTTGTTGTAATAATTCTATTTCCGTTGTCGCCGTCTCCGCCTCTACCGGTATTGGTTAAGCGTCCTGTCGGTCGTCCGAGAAAGCGCTCTCCTTCGCCCAAAGATCATTCACCACCGGTTCGAGAATTTCACAATTATTTATTGCGACATCGGCATAAAACATGTGATATTAAATAAAAAAGGAAAGAACGCACGCTAAATGTATTTATTCATGAGCCATTGGCCCATTTGCGCATAAACAAATGTCAGGTCGGAGGTTTTCGCCGATTAGGATTATCATGAACGTAGGAATGTGCAGAAATTAAGAAGTAGTTGAACAGCAAAACGGCTTTTGAAGTGAGTCAACTTTTGTGATAAGAAATGCCATGGGTAACTACAACAGTTTGCGAAAATGTACCTTGAGGAAATGTGTTTAAATATCTTTTTCTCCACTTTTCATAGCTTGATCTTATTAGAAGTACCAAAATGTGTATGAAACCTCCAACATCAATATGATGTCGTCCGGTTGGTTCTCCTCTTTTTTCGTAGTTCGAAGACGTCTCTAAACTAGCATCGACGTCATAGACTAACTGTTTGCTATACTAATACCTATAGAAACTGATTTTTTATTTCTAACTATACAACTTTTTTAACACTCTTTGCGATATTTTTGTGGTGAGGTCAAAGCGTTACCCTTACTTTACTGTATCGCCCAATCCAGTTACAAGTGTAAAATATAGGTATTAAAATGTCCCAACTTCATTACTTGTAGTAACACTTTCGGCTTACTTTAAGAAGCCGAAATGCTTGTAGACAAGTGAGTTTCACGAATTAACCATAGGAAACATGTAATCCATGTGTGGTTACTTAAGAGCACTAGTTTGTACATGCAAGGGGCGGATAGCACAGTGGTACTGTTGCCGATCATCACGAGCACGGTGCTGGTTCGATGCCGCACCGTGCCCATCAATCGTCTCATCCCTTCATGGTCGCAAAGTTAGCACCGGACTTGTCCGGAAAAAAAAATCACTCTCTATTATCCAAGTGGAAATGCTCTGGCCCGGCTACCTCAACACTCCAGGGAGAATCGACTCAACCAACATTCTACGACACTCAAGATGAAATGAAAATCCTTAAGCTAGCTGCCGAAGCCGCGGGTAAATGTTGGAAGACGTCCGTGGGTGATTGATGTGAGGAAACGAATCGAATGTGAGAAATACTGGGATCGGGATAGTAAATGTGAAATACGGGTCGTAAAAAATGAAATAAAATACTAAAAGAAAGTTTATATGTGCAGTCTGTGGTGTCTTCCATCCAAACAGCCTATTCAATGAGAATCGTTGTTGTAATATATTCTGGCAAAACATAATTTTGTTTAAACTCAAGTATATTAAAGGTTTTATTATTAAATGCAGATGATTGCTTAGCAAATCCCGATTGTTCACTGACAGAAATATTTTTCTTTTACTGTTCGAGATTCTCATATTCATTGTTTCACTTACTTATTTGATAGTTGAACGGCCCGTCCTCACTGGTTGTGCGGACCGCAGCATAATTAATCACCATTTTTCGGAGATTTGCTGGTTAAGGCAGTGTGGTTCTCTGGAATTCCTAGGTCAGCCTGGCCTAAGTCTGTCCCAGGTCTTCACCACCACAGGCAGTCCCTGCCGTTGTGGATCAGAGGGAGATTTACCACCATGCGGCTTTGATACCAGGACGGTGGTGGCTCCTGGTATTGGTTTACTCCTAGCTAGGCTTCCTGATGGAAACGCCGGACTCCTCAGCTTGGGAGACACTACCGGGTGGACGAATCCCCGCGCTGTACATCGCAGTCCGACACCCAGGAACACCTCCCAGCCACGATGAGGCGGTAAACCATTGGGAGGTTTTATTGTTTATTTTTATTATGTTTGTTTATGCTTGTTCATTGTTTTATGTTTGGAAAACTACGAGCACATCTAACAAATCTACTTTTTCCTACTATTTTTTAAAATCTCTTTAGAAGTTGTGTTTTCATCTTGTGAACCGGCGAAATTTAAATTTCAGACGTTGTTTGCCGAAGAGCCATTTGCAATACGGGTGGCGCCTAGAGAGAGTCGATCGGGACGCCGTGTTCGACGTATACAGAAGGCGTTGTCCTCGGTAGTCACAACTTTGTTTTTGGATAAGAAAGTAAGAGAATCGAGAAATGTATTAGTTTACCCAACTCTTTACAATCCTCAATATTGACTACAATCGAAAACTACGTCGAACCTCTTTAGATTTTATCCAAGCAAAGTTGAGGAGCGCTTGTAGCGCAGTGGCCAGAGACGCCCTGAAATGTACATGGGATCAGTCCCCGCGCCCTAGGCTCACCAAACCTATACCTCCGGGGTGGCCACAATGGTACCGAACTTGTCTGGCAGCATAGCAGCACTGGCTCGATAAATCAGTGGGCCACCACGAGTCATTATAGAGGCCATATATGTATTTAATGCCCTCCAACGATACTCAATGAAGTCGAATGTACGGTTCATCCCTCAGGGATTGATCAACGCCGAGAACTTTATTCTTCAGCTTTTCAGCAAAACTGAGTCTTGTTGTCGTCTTTGGGAAACATTTTTAGCATTTTTGAAAAAAAAAAACGTATTGGAGGATATGCTGTATATTTGGAGAAGATTATCTGCTAGTACTAAGTTTTGACCTAGCTCGCTTCATTGATTGGATTTCTTCACCAGGTAACGCTGAAGGCCAAGTGGAGTGTTCGCTCTGGCGTCAAGATAATGGGCATGCTGAGGTTACAGATAGCGAGAAGCACTATCACTTGAATGACGAGTGAAATCGTTAAAGCTTAGTGAAAGCCAGCGCAAAAGGCTCAGTGGAAAGCTTTTACAGTAGCGGGCATATGTGGACACAGAAATCAATGAGACTTTGATTGCCCAAATCAGCAGCTCATCTCAGCGTCACCGTCACCGTTACAAACAACGTTTTTCTTTTTTCTTACCCAATTCCATGAAACCAACTGGTATTTCGAAATAGCTCAAGGTTTATTTTCACCATGAGAATAAGATGGGCCAATTTTAAAAGGGAATTCGGGAAATTTATGAACTTCATGTACAAAAGTACAGTCGCATGTCATTTGCTATCCTGAATTGACGTATATGCAAAAATTTATCTCTGGTAGGTATCTCTAGGGCGAAGTCCTAATGCAAAGCGAGGAACTACACGGGGTTGATTAATCAGAATTCAATATTTTTCACTCAACGGAGTCGGTTTTATTCATGAGAACTCACCGAGTGTGGACTTTTCGTTCGCATCTTTGCAGATTGTCACTTTTTCTCTTCTTTTCTTCTTTTTTTTGATAGTGACTTCTTAAGGCTGGCGTTAGGTAATTTGTATCACTTGATTTCAGCTCAAGTACTTGTATTAATACAAATTATTATAATTGAACTACACAACAGTTTGATGCATTTGTATACGATGAATTTAATTGACCAGGTTAAGTGAATTCATAAAAAGTTATATTTTGTTAGTAAAATATGATAGGTTTTGAAAAGATCATCAAAATGGCACGCGATAATGCTACTGGTACGCAAAAATAATGCGTGTTTAAGGGGTTTAAGGGACCCTTTCTTCTTTAGACTCATATCGGCCACTTATGGTTTATTTCAAAAATCCGATATTGATTTTTGGACGATCTTGTCGTATTTTTGGATCCAGAACGATACTGTCGTCGTATAGTCGTTGACGTTTGAATACGTATTTAAAAGGCAGCTAAAGAGCGTAAGCATTGCGTTAGTTATCGAATATTCATTTGATACAACAAACACTTTAGTCTTACTCAGTACGAAGTATTTGTCGTGGGCCCCGTTTTTCGAAAACGTTGGTAGTGTCTTTAATTCTATTAGGGGATCCACCGGTTTGTCGCTCGAACTCATTATGTAAAGTGTTTAAAGGTTTTTCAGGAACTTAGTCGCATTATGAATAGTTTTATGAAATGAATCAGCCTTATTTTCCACCCTCATATTTCCTCATGATATCAAACTTATCTTATTCCTCAAGAGAATCACGTCTTTGGAAAGTTTCTTTCAGTCGAACGGATCTATGAGTTCTATGCGAGCTTCATCGGAGGATGCTGAGTATAGGCCGTGTTTTTTTGCTTCACCTCGGGTAGGTGGATTGAGTGAAGTATGTAATTTTCTAAAAATCTGTTTCTGTTCGTTGTGTTCAGTCTATTCATTTGTCGAAACCAACAACTGTGATATTTTTGACTACTTGCTAATTGGTCAATTTATCGAGAATGAAATCAAATTCGAATTGAGGTTAATGACGTTGATTAATTCAGTAAAACTCTAGAATTTGTTGTGACACTGAGTTGGCAGGGTTTGATTTATACGATAACTTTTAATTGCCTACGTAGTGATTTCTTAGTGTGGTAGAAGGTTCAGAGTCAGTGTTAGAGATTGAAGTTTACTGGGTTTCCGATGTACTGACTTCAATGAAGAAAACGAAGTATTTTTTTTACCTAGTTGTATCGTCGCATGAGGAGTGAAACTTTCAAGTTCAATGAAAGTGCCAAATTACTTAAAGTAGAGTTGATCGTTATCGTGAATGCGCTGTTTTCTCTGTGCACTAAGCATTACGCTAGTCTTGAACGTAAGCGAACGTTCTCTGAGGTTCGATTTCTCATGACATTCGTGATCACTGAAACATAGCTCTGAATTCCCCACTTGTTCACTCTCTATGGCTTCATTTGTTAAAGCCAGTTTTGTAAGATTATTGAATAGGAAACCGAAAATGTATAATACAACATTATTCATCTCCTCAACTCAGACAACGGCGGTTATGACGATGAGCTCCATAAAACACCGCCGCCGAGGACGCCCTCGCAAACGGCTTCAAATCGAGGTTAGTACCTTTGGTTTTACACCATGCTTAGTAGTTATACTCTTCGAACTTCTCCGGACTAGTCGTTTTCTAGAGTACCGTAGTCTGAAATTATTCTTTGTGAATGGATTTCCATTCATGAATCTCATTTTATTGAGGCGACTCTGATAAAGGGTTAATACGTAAGTGAACAAAAATATTGAGTAGTGGATAAGTTGGAATAGAAAATCTGGGTTTGATTCTTCTCATATCTATCAAGACGTCATTGATGACATCGTGTTTAAAAAAGGCTCTTAAAATGTCCTTAGTTCTCATTGTTAATCCGTTCCTTTAATTTTAGTCTTATTCTTAATTTTTAATTCTGCTCTAGGCTCTTTCACGTGGTTGAAAATTACTTTTCATAGTGTGCGAAGCGTAAAACTGTTGTTATTCCATTGTTAGCTGAAAGGAAAATTTGTTAATTATGCGGTAATAAGCCGGAGGTTCGTTCTCATCTGAACCCTTTTTTTCCTTCAAATTACTCCATTATGAAGTAATCGTTTCCAAATAAACTGTTAAGCTGTGTAAATGTTTCTCACTAAAAAAGCCAAGTAATTAAGTTTATTCTTTAAAAAAATGTAAATTGTGTGAAATATGAGGAAGAGAACGGCTAAGAGCTGAATCTGATTCGCATTTGCTTAAAAGTGCGAAAAATCTTCAATTCTTATCGTCTTCACCTATAACAATTGTCAACAATGCGCTATTCGCAAACGATGAAAGAGGTCGCTCTACGGCGTCCATTTGATGCTAGCCGAGTATCGATTACTTGGAGAATTGGGTTGTCGGTGGTTTGGGTCACATCAATTCCCGTAGCTCTTAGAATGTGTATGCTAACCCAGCTGGGTATCCAGACCTTCGTCGTCGTGATTTGCGCGCACGCTATTTTTCGCCCATCAACGCTGACCCTTTCCCGCCAAAAATGTTTCCCGTCTAATTGTTCAGTTTTCTGGCCAGTAATTTGGTTTTACGACATCAAATTTTCTTATTTTCGGTGTTAGTTGCTTTATGGGAATTTGTTTTGATGATATATCCAATATATATTCTGATTTATCCGGCATATCCGAGCTGAGTCGAAAATCATGCGGTATCAGAGAGCCGTCCTTAAAGTGCACATATCGCTTTTTCAGGATCTTTTCAGGACTTAATCCACCTGCTTGAAGATATATATCTTTCTTCTGTTCTATTTATCTCAGTAGTGCTTTTTTTGTCTCATTCACTAGGCAAATGAGTATGAAGTGATGTACAAGGCGAATTTCTCCACTTATTGTGATTTTGAGTGTACTACTAGTTCTAGTTCAATTTTCCGATGTCCTTTGACCAGTTAGCCTGCACATTTCTTTTTTTGGCAAGGCGCTTCTCGAATACTTCAGTACTTCATGGTTTTAGAGAAGTACTTTCCAGTAAACTTAGTTTGAAGTAAATATTTGATTAGTGCCTTCCTTTAAAGTGATATTTTTGTTATGATTTCTTGCTATGAAGAGTACTTAGTCGGTGCTGTGTATCTAGCTCATCTGGTTCTCAGTTAGTTCGTTTGAATTGAATTGAATGCGTATTTTCATACGATTACGACGAAGAAATGACGATGTCCATTGGCTCGCGATAAGTTTCTAATTAATGTGTTCAAAGTGTGTAAAATCATGCAACACACAAAGAAAAACAAACAAAAATCGTGACTGCATGGGTCGTATATAGCTCGCTCTTGGCTAAAATTAGTTCGAACTTTCAAATTCGAGCTAGCGTGTTTCAGATCGTGACGAACTTTAATAGTTGATATAAAAATTTAGAAACTCCTAGGTTATGAAATACTTGGCTTTTCACTACCCTCCGATGGATTTTCTGTTCTTATGAGGTACGGAAATCTGCTTTTTTTTCCGTTGAAGTTTTTATGTCGAGTAGCGAAACGATTGAAAAGCAGCGTTTCGTCCATCAGGAAGCGGTGGTATTCTTGAGTGCATCATTTATTTCTATCGCTAGCATGATTACGATGAATTTCCTGAAACCATCTATTCTGTTAATTCGGACTTTAAAGAAGTTTAACAATAGTTTAGGAAGAAAAAGATGCTTTTATACGAAGTAAAATCACGAGGACGCTGAGGTATGAGTAAAACTTGGAACTATAGCAAGGTTTAAAACCCGCGATTACCTTTTCGTGGGTTCACGTGCCATCTACGACACCAATCCAAACTTGCCTTGCGTATCCAGTCCAGCCTTTATCCATTTTCCAGTCTCTTGACCAGTTTTACTCTAGTGGTGCTATCAGTGATCACCTGTTAACGGGAATATTTTTTGGAGCACAGATCGGCAGTGAACAAGTTAAACTGGAGCTGTGGTCGAAATCACGACTCTTATTCGCTGCCTATTCTTTTCTTTTTTTATGGCAGCATAGTCTGCCATGAAATGAAAAGAATAGGTGGTAAATAAAAGTTACGACAAAATGCTTCTACTCTTAGAGCGATAGGGCTGATTTTCTTGTATGTATCCATTGAATGACAAGGTGTTGTGCCTAAAAAGATTAAATGTGTTATCGAAAAACGTGTTGGTGCCAACGTCCTGAATGTTTTTATCGTCCTCGTGAACGTCCTGAATGTGGTTTTTACAAAAAGGTCGTTCCGACTCCTGGTGCTAGGAGTTCGAAAAACCGGCCTCCAATTAATCTCGTCATTAATAGATAAGTTCTTTTGTTCTTACAAGGCGTCCTCAATGAGCTGTGACCAGGTCTCTTTCAGCACATAAGTTCTGCTTTTCAATAGTTAAGTCTCGACGATTTCATCTTCTTCAGAGCCGTTTTTCTGTTCTTTTTGTTTCCTGAGGAAGGGTTTTTTTTCTGAGGAAAAAAACCACCCGTGTGGTGTTCATAAGGGTTAAAACAATCTGTCCGAAACCCTAAGTACGTGTTAAAAATGTTGTCTCAATTGTTTACCGACAAGTTTATTGTATGCTCACGATTTGTTTTCGAAACATGACGAATTTTGTGCTTATCGTTGGTTAAAGCAGGCAAAATGTTTACTGTATAAGTGGTGTCACTTGTGATTGAACTCGGCATGAATTGAACTTGAGAGAGACTTTCTTCCTACTTTTTTGTGATCTCCTGAGTTTTTTCCTGCAAATAGTTGGTGATTACAGACAAAGAAGGACATGTTCATACTTTGTTTTTCTCCGAAATACTCAACTGCTCGTTAGCGAAACATTTTGTATTCCAACTACTTCGGAGGATTTTCAAGCAAATCATCTGGCCGCAACAGCTGATTGCATTTGCTGATATTTATGCATTCAAACTTTTTGTCTCTCTTCAATAATTTATTATTCTCAAATTTGTTTGTACACTCATTATCATTACACTCAATACACTGACTTACACCTTATATTGCTTGGATACTTGGGCGGCCCATTCTCACCGGTTGTGCGGGCCCCAGCATATTCTCCATTTTTCGACGTTTTGCAGTTTAAGCCATTGTGATTCCACGGAGTCCCGAAGTCAGCCTGACCAAAAACTGCTCCAGGTCGTCACCACCACAGGAAGTCCCCACCCCTTATGGATCAGAAGGAGATTTGCCCCCAAGCGACTTGTTTGATACCAGGACGATGGTGAATCTTGGTACTGGTTTACTCTTAGCCGGGTTTCCTGATGGAAAGGACGAACTCCTTCTCTGCTTAGGTGACCCTGCCAGGGGATGAATCCCTCGCTGTACATCGCAGTCCGACATCCAGAAACACCTCCCAGCCACGATGAGGCGCTAAACCGTTTGGAGGACTCCTTATATTATGTGTATTAATGATATCATGTATTTCAAAAGTTTGTTTAATTCTTTTCTGTTTGCATATTTGATTTTCAAATGTTTGGGTTCAAACAAAAATCTGGTTGCAATTCATAAGATTGAATTTGAATACCGCGCCTCTAACGCACGAAGAGCGCAGAGTTTTTATTCACCCATTTCTGGTGTCAGAGCTGCCCTGCTTGTCTCCACTTGCCCAACGAATATGGTGAACATCGTTTTGCTACAGTGTTCTTTATGAAACTCTATTTCGCGAGAAATGAGTAGCGAGTAGCTTACAGAATTCTGTTCTTACATAACTCTGGAGCATTTCACGATGGGATTTATAGAGCAACCCTAATTGGGTGACGAAGATAATTTGTGAAAAAATAGCAAATTTTCGACGGTTTCTAAGGAGTTCACAATTTTGATGCAGATTGTTAGATTTCTATTTTACAACCTTGTTGTTAAAATTGTGTTCTTTTTTGAATCGACATGTGCGCTGACAGGGATCTGTCATGCGAGAATTTTAGTTCAATTACTTTCGACGCCCGTACGGTATTCACTAAGTGGCAACTGGGAGAACGTACACAGGAAGTGATCATGTCCTTGGTGGACTACATTTCCCTGGTGATCCAGATTGTCATATACCTTCCTTACGTCTGCAGAGTGATAAATATGTGCTGGACATGCTTCCATGTATGCGGATTGTATTGTGCACTTCGATTAGGCCAAACACTTGCATCTGAATGGCTCAGAAGTACATGGCAGGCGGTTCGCTATCGCGTCCATTAAATAGCCACCGCGTCTGTTACGTTAGCGTTCGAAAAACTATCCGTAATTGTATCCAATATTCACGGATGAGCCTGTAGCCTTATATGTAGCTAACTAATCGCTGAATACCTTTCTGGTAGTGGTGCTTCTTCTGTCTGTGGAACAAACAGACCTATTGGCCATGTGTGATGAGCGACGTGAAAGGTTGCAAACTTTACTGGTGTTAGCTGAAGTCACTTGTTGATCACTGTAATTGCAATTCCTGCATAAAAAAATAGCATGCACATTAATATCTACGTTAATAAGCCAAGTGGAGATTATTAACACAAACTCTATATTGGATTTTCGACGTGTGACGATCATTTCTCGTTCAGTGAAGAAAATGAGGAGTTGGGATAATTTCGCAGAGTCATAACTGGGACTTCTCCATCGCTTTAAAAGGGGTAAAGGATAAAACTCTTGGCGTTGATCAATCCCTGAGTAATGCGCCATGCATTCTACTTCACTAATCATGGTTTGAGGCGAGAATTCGTGTCTGGCCTTTACAATGATTATGGCCTACCGATGTATCGAGCCAGTGTTGCTATCTTCCTAGACGAGTCTGGTACCAATTTGCCGAACCCGGAAGGAGTGGTGGGCCATGGGCGTGGGAATTGACTCCATGTATTTGTTGCAGGTCGCGTCCGACCACTGCACCATCGCCATCGCCTCCGTTGCTTTAATCATGTAATATAATTTTTATGTAATATTCTTTCGGTTTTAAATATTTGTGAAATTAGTATTCTCAAATTAGAAGCGTAATTCAAATATTTAAAATTTCGTACCCACATAGTGAGTGCACGGCAGAAACCAGTGATGAGCTGGAGAACACCGTTGTATCGGATGGATGAAATCCTGCCTCTTCAAATGCTTCAGTGTTCGGAATACTAGCCTCCGTGCTAAAAAAATTAAAAGATAGGTTCCATAGTATTTAGAAAATATGAATTGTGTCTTGTAGAATGGACAGCATGCATCTTGTAGAGAAAAAAAGCTGTAGGCTATCGTAGTTTCCATTGCAGTGAATGAAATTCAATATGGGCTGAGATATTTTGGTTTAAAATTGGATAGCGGTCATTATTTTCGCACCAAATGCATTGTGCCCAATGCATGTTGGCTCTTGTAAGTTAGAAACTGAATCGAATAACTACTAAGTTCTTGGTGCTCTGTTCTGCATTTTATATAGAGCAAAATGCTTGGCATAAAAGTTTTCCACGACCAGTACTAGTCTTGGAAGAAGTACTGGAAATTTCAAACTATAATCAATATTAATTACAAAATACAAGTACGAATATATACATATTCTTAGAGATTCACGAGAATCTTATGGAATTCTCTTATATATAATTTGTACTCGTATATATTCTAATCTTTAAGGTTTACCAGTAGAAGTATTCTCATTGCATCCAGTCCACCAACATTTATCCTAACCGTCATTCAATCTGTTTTGGTCTTGCTGTTTACATTCTTGGAAATACTGAGAAATAAATTGTTCCTGAACGAGATTTTACCTGTGTGAGCGATGGCACTTCACAAATTTACCAACCTCCATAATATTTACTCTGATAAAGCCATAATGAAATTTTTATCTATGCTTGAAGAAATTTAGGCTCCACACATGACTATGAGTTCACCAACATCTTTGCGACGGCTGACAGTCGCTGCTGATGAACCGTCGAGCTACCGTGGTCGTAAACGAAAGGCAGCGATGGCGTTTATGAAAAATGGGAAGGTAAATTTTCTATAAAGTCTGTAACTAATTTCATTGCAAATGCGTTTTCCTCCCTCATACTGAAAAACTTTATAAAAAAAAATGGACCTCTTAGTTATTTATGGTGGCGCTACTGTTCTTTGGTAGTTTTGTGTTGCTCAATCCCTGAAGAATATTCCAGGACGTTGAACATTATTAACTATTGCCACCTTATTACTTACTGCCTACTCTTTTTAATGGCACGGTATATTGCGAAACATAATTTCAGTGATGCTGAGAGAATTTGCAAAACTCCGGACCGCAGGTGTCTGTGGTAGAGAACGAACGCGCTATTGTCCTTTGCAGGGAGTAACGCGTTCACCACCATACCATGCGTGTGCTTGGTTTCGCCTCTCTCTCACTATTAACTATTATAGAAGTGACTGAATCCATGTATGACCTTTACAATGACTAGAGGTTGCCTACCGATCTATAAAGTTGGTGTTTTCTATCTGCCTAGACATGTGTAATACACCCACCCTGGTGTCTGGAGCGCTTGGTTTCCAGAGAATTCGAGATTGAACCAACATATTGCAATGCAGCGCTAACCACTGTGCTGCAAATGCCCTCTGATCATGTATATACACGAAATGTTTTTGGAACTTCTTATCGACGCCGTAGAAATCCGGACGTGTTGTTAATGTATTCACATCATATCTCTATTATTTCTTTTTACTTTGCCCGCAAAGCGTCATATTCAGTTGATGGTGGTGAAAAATTTATGATTCGAAATTGCACATCTCTAGCTACAATCGGGATCATTGTGGTCTTTGATTACTATCTGCGTCTTACCGCTACTTCTCTGAAAATTATGTCGACAAAGGTAATGTTTGAAGGAGTCTCCCCTCATTCGCTTTGATTGGTCTATCTTCGTGTCAGACCATATTTGCATTCCTTTCTATAATTCTTCATCTTCTGCGTTTCTTTTCTGTTTCCATACTTTCGGAACATATACAATTTTTGGTAAAGTAGAAGGATGAAGCTCTCGGCGTTGGTCAATCCCTGAGGGATGCACCATGCATCCGACTTCATTAAGTAAAGTTTGGAGGTGATTGAATGCATATCTGGCCTTTACAATGACTCGCCGTAGCCTACCAATGTATCGAGCCGGTGCTGCTATTCTCTTAGACAAGTCTGGTACCAATTTGCTAACCGCGGAGGGATGGAAGGCTTGGTGGGCCACGAGAGTGGGGATCGATTCCACGTATGTGTCGCAGTGACGCCTCCATCTACTGCGCCACACGGGCCCTTACAACTTTTAGTATGGTGAAAAAATAAGTCTCGTCCACTATCCGCTGACTGTCAGTCTTTGGTAAGGTTTTCTAAGGTATGGGATGTTTCCTATTGGATTAAAAATGTTTTTATATCGGAGAAGTTGATAAGATATAAGATAGAACATTCGCGTGGTTTTTAACTTCTCTGGCGCATATAGGACGCCTAATTTTCGGTTCTTACGGACCTTCTGGGATTTTGACGATAACCGATATTTTTTCGAAAACCAGATAACTTGAAGGGTTGTGAACACAACAGGATTGTTGAGGAGACTTTGATCTGTTTTACTGTATTGCTGCGAATAGTATGTGTGTTGTTATTTACTATATGTTGCTGTCGGCGTTTAAAAGTGTTTGGCAACCTTAGCCATGTCTATTTCGGTATTTCCAACATCTCCGCTTTTCATACAGCAGCTTTGATTTATTATAGCAACTACAATTGAAGTGACTGCCAATTGCCTGTAAGCAGTAAATGAACTCTTTCCCAAAAAAGTTTTGTTGTATATTTCTTAATACAGAATAGAGCTGTTCCGGGGTGACACTCGCCATGAGTAAGATAACCTCTATATAGTTCATCCCTGCTATTCGGAACGCTGTGTATGGTTGTATAGAATGCTCACCGTCCGTTATGTGTTAATCACCATGGCGATTATAAATGGAGTGGCAATCGATTATTGGTCGTAAGTTAACTTCATTTTCTCTTGACTGAAGCTCAGAAGTAAACCGACGGAACCGTTTATGCCACTCATCGACAATGAATGTGAATTGTATGAAAGAAAGGACCAGTAGATGCGGATAAGAGTAGGATGAGTCATGGGAGCAAACCATTGGTGAGATGCAGAGATACACTGTTTCGTAGCTGTTACATATACTTTGAGATCTTCTATCTATTTTCTTGTGTTTGAACATTTCTATTACTTGGGTGTGAGTAAAAAAATTCTACTACCCAAATATATTACTGTCAACCTTTCATGGTCGGCTTCATGGGATACTCGTTTCATTTAATTCTACGCTGTAATAATACTCATAATGTAACGAGGAAGATTGAACGGGAAGAAAAAGCTCTAACCCTTAAAGAGAGATCTATTATCGTTCTTTGCATTAAGATGAGTGAGAGAGAGAGACCTCTAGCCTATCACGACAGAGATTATTGGAGCTGCATTAGTGATGGTATACAACATTATACTCATTCCCAAGTTATGCCAAAAGATACAAATCGCGAGTTGCCTCCATTTATTGGCCATTGGAAGATGTTATGAAAGAAACAGCCTATACGAAATCAGTCCATCGCTCAACTTGTTAGCAGAAATTACATGAGAAAAGGAGAGTTACTTTACGACTTTACATTTTACGTGAGACATTGGTACACCACCGTTCACTGTGATAGTATGCACACAAACAGTGTATGCATGAGTTCAAGACTCAAGTCTGTTCGTGTTTATTCAAATAAAGTAAAGTGAAAGAAGGGGAAGTGTTGTAGGGAATTTTATACATATTGGAGTCCAAATCTGGAATAAACTCATGTTGAGCAGGTGAGACTCAATGCAGCAAGTGCTACGAATATTTTTGTTTGTATTGTTTCAATAATTGTCGTACAAAGAATTACTTGTAGAAGGCAAGGTTGTAAAATTGCGGGTGGATGTTGTAAATTTTAATGCTTACTTTATTTCAATGGTTTTAATCTTATGTAAATGCGTTGGGTGGGGGGCAGGGATAGCGCAGTGGTTAGTGATATCGTCGATCAGGAAGCAAAGACACTAGTTCGATCTCCAACCCAACGCTGTCCTCCAGTGCATGTGAGAAACGCCGTAGCCCGGCTAGGCCCAATACTGCAGGTACAAGTGGCTCCATCATCATGCCACGACAATCATGAAAAAGAAATCCTCAAGAAGCAGCGGTAACAACATGCGAAATGTTCGAAGACCACCGTGGACGATGAGTGCCAGGAAAACGAATCGAACGCAAAGTTGAGATCTGCACAATAAACATGATGACAGATCATGTAAAATGGTAGAAGAGAAATCTGTCAATTCTGCGTAGGAAGTGTAGATTATAGAGGTTAGGAGTAATGGTGATTATAGTTTGTCTAAACGGTGTTAACTCTAGTTAGTTCCAAACAGGTGAAAAACACGCAACGAAAACCCAATTAATTTTTACTTCTAGGTGCTGTGATTTTTTTGTTTACGTGTTCTTCAAGTTTTTGAGGACAACGTTTGCAAAAGTGGGTTTATGAAAAAGGGTTGAATAATGTTTGCCGTCTGGTCCCTCGTAGGAGGGAAACATTTGCAGAAGTTGCCCCAATAATTTCTTCTACTGTTTGATGATTTCGTAAGAAACTGTGTCTACGTTTATAACTTCAGTGGATAAATGCAGCAAATATGATCCTGCCAGAGGAGGGATTAAACCAGACAAGTGAGCTTGTACGAAGAGGTTTTTTGCACATTGTTGCGTGTAGGAAACAGCTTTTATCGAATTACGCCAGTCACAATACCTGCACTCGAGAAGTTGTCGAAAGTCCTGGAATATATTGTATATTGTATTAACTATATCTGAGCTTGATTTTTAGGAAAAATATTCGAGTGGAGAAAACAACATGATGGAACTAGGCGATGCATTATCGGATGTCGATTGTGATGTGTCGTTCCCTGATGAGTCCCTGCTTTGCTTGGGAAGTGATGACGAGTTTGAGGTAAGGTCTAGAATTTCACATTTCCTTTGGTCGTGCGTAAGAACTTTTTGAATATTTTCTTTTAGAAATCTGACTGCGTAGTAATAAATGGAAGGGTTAAGCTGGCTAGATTATTTAGTTGGTATTAAAAAGATGCCAGACGCCAAGTGAAAAACTCGGGTTAAATTGTTGCGCTATTTGTTTTCCAGTAAGACTAAAAGGTAGTGACAATATTTCAAAATTTTTGTGCATATGCTAATGCCTCAACGAGGGGTCTATACTTTAAGTGACGTTTTGTTTCTATTATGGTCATTCTAGACATTTTCTTAGTGAATCACATATAATTTATTCTTCGCTGTTCTTCCAAAACTGGAATCAATATCTCTTAACAACGCATTTGTGGGGATGCATAACGAGATCTTATTTCTCAGACATCATATTTTCTATAACTTATCTTTAATTTTTATAATTATTGCTGTTACATTTCTTCTGTTGATGCAGGTTTAATTAAATTTAATGCCTTTCATATGAGATAAAGGATCTACAGAAATTGTATTTTCATTTGTAAGCAGAATCCTCATTAATGAATAGTTCTTCAGATGCAGTCATCTTTAGCGAGTCGTTCAACTAAGTTCGAATTTGGACACTGAGTAGAACGTCTTTCAGGATGAACGCTTATTGGATGAGAAATTTTTGAAAAAATGTGGAAGAAGAGTAATGGAGGTGTATTCCAAAGTTATCAAAGAGTACGATGAGAGAATAAGGAAGGAAGAAGCGGTGAGACGTGTTCAGCCAAATGATTTCCTGTAATCGTCTCTTTTCTGCACTTGGTTACGATCCTGAATTGAAATCCGGCTTACTCCTGTAAACTGATATCTACTTTCTTAGTGAATGCTTCTTCAAATATGCTTTGCTTTTCTACCAATCCGATAATTTTACAAAGCTGAGGAAACATATCGCATTAAATTTACCGAAAATTACTCTCAGACGTCAATCTTTATTTCCAAAGTGGCATATCTCAGTTCGGAATAAACCGTATTAATCCATTGCGGCCCCTATGCACACTATAGTGTCCACATGGAGTTTAGTGAATTCCAGAGTTTTTACCGTGGAATTCACTAAACTCAATGTTGAATCGATCTCCGTGTCCATGGACCACCAAGCCTTCCACACCACCGGGATCGGCAAATTGGTACCAGACTTGTCTAGGAGGATAGCAGCACTGGCTCGATACATCGGTAGGCCACTTCCAGTCATTATAGAGGCCAGATATGCATTCAGTCACCTCAAAACGATACTTAATGAAGTCATAAATACTCATTCGATGGCTAATCGAAACGGATCAAAACACTAAGGGTGAGACCAGAAAATCGTAAGTTCTCTGCATTTAGTGATTTACAAAATTCTTTTTTATGAAAAGGTTCATTAGCCGATAATTTGACTATTAACTAACTGTTGTTTCATTTTAATCCTTATAATGGATCATGGTTATTTTATGGAAAGTGTGGGCATAAAAAAATATCGAAGTAGACTCGGCATAGGTTGAACTGGGAAATACATCAAATCCAGACAGCGATGTTTTTACATACTCAGTAAATAGTAGCGTACATATCATTTATGGCTACAAAATGACAAAGCAAAGTCTCTTCTACAATCTATTGCGTTCAAAACTTCTAAAGTCATCTGCTTATCGAAGAAAGACATTTTATCGTCAATGAACCAGAGAGTCTGTGGCCGACGAAAAATTGCGCATAGCTCATTAGGCCAGAGACGTAATACGGTAGCTATGGTGGAGTGGGATAATCGCGATAAAAAACACGAGGACGTTTTTGCTAACGAGAAAGAAGTGTATTCATGCCAGTTGCTTAAAACTCTCGTTTCGGCCGAAGCTAGGTTTCTGACGCATTTCTCGCACAGGAAGTTATCAGGTTTCTTAAAGAAGTGTAGGCGTTAGGCCAGAGGTCTAGCATGTATGATAGATGAAGGAGACTTCCGTTGCCCAACTTTTGCAGCGTCGGTTGTACTAGGTGTCACCGAACGTTATCGTAGAGAAACATTGGCGCTTCTGTTTACCGATGGCGTTGAAGTTTCTAGAGCTCCTTCATAGATTTTTTGGACATACTTTTCCAACGTAATAATTTCACGAGTATTCAAGAACAACAGACCATCAAGTTGTCAGCTCGATCTCATTTTAATGCAATTGCGGCATTGGGAAAGACTGCGGAGCTTCACTGCGTTTCAACCACTGAGTCCACCGTCGCTGGTCGTCGTAGACAATCCACTTTTCGTTGTAGTCACAATATGATCAAAAAAGCAATCGGTCTGGGAGGGTTGCATAGAAGAAATGCCAGCTATGCCTCGAAACGACAATTTCTTTGACTGTCACTCAAGTCGTGCGGCACTCGTTCGTCGAGTTTCTTCGACGTTCCAGTTTTCTTCAGATGTTAACTGGGTTTAATGATAATTGCTTTCCACGTCATTCCCGTTGATGGGTGATTGCTGATGGCAGCGTTAGCTAGAAAATTGGCTGAGAGGAATAGATCCGGCCTGCGGTTCAAGTTTTGCAAATATCTCAGTATGAATGTTTCGAAACAGTTGAAGTGCTCACATCGACTGCTTCCAAAAGTTCTCGATGAGTTTTGTATAATTCGTTTACACCGATACTATCAATTCATCGTTATCGTCTTTCGCAACCTCCTTCATCTTCAACGTTGAATTCACCCCAGTGAAATTTCCAAAACATCAACATAACACTGTGCGTTAGTTTACACTTCTTTGGTCCTATATTTCAACAATGATATATGAGCCGTCTAGTTCTACTGGGACCAAGTTTGAATTCATAGTAGATTTGTCAAAATCGCTGTCTCGAAATCTAAAATTCTAGCCTTTAAAATTTCTCAAAAGTACCACCCTTATTGTACTTCAATTATAGTTAGCGAAAGTGCATAAAATTAGCTTTGCAATCGTAAAAAGTAGTACCGGATAGGGAAAAAACTCTAGCTAAAACATGTGCAAGAAAAATGAAATTACAGATCGGACATTAATTTCCGAACAACCTAATAATGCACTTAACGTGCCATTAAATAATGTTCAATTTTTGTTCACTGCTTGTTATTTTTTTTTTTCCCGGCAAGGTATAAAGTATAATGCAATCACAATGATGCTGAGATATTTGCAAAACTCCCATCCTAGGCAAACCTCGAACCTGCGACTACTTTTTCGGGGCTTCACATGCTACCCATTGCACCACCTTGTTAAACACATTGTTACATGCGTACGCACATACGCACCACGTTAAGTGCATTATCTTATATCTTATTATATATATATATATATATATATATATATATATATATATATATATATATAATCCTTGCAAATACATGCTTGTACTCGCAATGGTCTGCCGATGTATCGAGTCAGTGTTGCTATCCTCCCAGACAATTCTGGTACCAATTTAGCTACCTTCGAGAGACAGAAGGTTTGGTGAGTCTGGGCACGGGACCGAACACATGTGTATTGCAGGCGCCTCTAACCATTACGCTGCACGCTGCCATACATATATATATATATATATATGTATATATGTATATATATATATATACATAGTATAATATAATATAATATAATGTAACATGGGGTGTGTGTAGTTTACACGTATGCATATATATATATATATATATATGTATATGTGCATATATATATATATATATAATATGGGTGTAGGTAGCCAAGATCAGTGATGCCGTCGATCAGGAAGCAGAGACGCAAGTTCGACCTCTTCAAAGCATTTCAACGGTCCACGTGGGGACGTCTTTGACAGGCTACTTCCAAGACTGCAAGGACACGACTCGATCAGCATTCTTCATTCATAAAAAAGAAATCCTCAAGCAGCAGCCGGAAAACGCGAAATGTTCCAATATCGTTGTGGACGATGAATGCGGGGGAAACGAATCGAACGCAAGAACAACTCCGCTGTGATGACGTTTCATGCAAAGTGTAATTTTTTATATGTATATAACACATATTTATTTATATGATCTTATAGTCTGATCTTCTTAAGCTGATGCGAGGTTGGTAAAGCCAACGTCGCATCAGCTTAAGTCAATCAGTTTATATGATCATATAAATAAATATGTCAACCATCTATGCCGAAGTCTATGGAAGGTCGGTCATATAACACTTATTTTATTCTCATTCATTTTCTTTACTGTTTTTGTCTACTCTTTATTTCCTATCGTTCTTTTCTTTGTAGCTGACCATCTTAAAGAAAGTGTTTTGATTTTTTCTTTGCCTTTTTTGTCGGTGCTGGACTATTTATAAGATTGCTCAGAGCGTGGAAAGGAGAAATGAATACACATACCGTTCATTAGATGTATAGTCATTGATGTGAACCTACCACTTCTCTCGGATGAGCTCCTTCGGTCCGCAAACGCAGGCGAATATATTTACCTTTGTAGTAGAATTTTCCCAAGATTTTATGAAGAACCAACTTGTTCAGCTTTGCAACGCCATTCTTGAGAAAGACAGTGTCCTCAAGTCGCGGCCAATTTTGTACGCAAGTCCGAAGATCGTCAATTACGGATACAAGTCTATGAACCGTATGAAACGAGTGCTCTGATATGCACCATATGTCAAGGGCATTTTCTTAAAAACTCTTCCCGCCCCCCTCAAGGCCATGTAAATGAATGGGAAACTAATTGACTTGACTTTTGAGACTGTAAATCACTACGTAGTAAATCCGTTGTTCTCTTTTTTACGGCAATCGCGAGGTTGTTATTCAGCACATGTTTAATTCCTCACAAATACAACACATACAACACAACGGTAGCTGGTGCTTTGGCAGTATGGCGTTCTTCAGAGCCTGGAAGGGTACACTAATATGTAATTTACTAGGCCAAACGCTTCAACTACGCAAACAGAAAGATGAAAATCGGAACAATAATTACACGATCACCGGCTTCTCGAAAAACCCACCGTTTTTATCTGTTTTCCCACTAAGGAAGAACAGCCGCTTAGGGTCGCATATGGTTGATTAGTGCACCACCACACATCAAAATAGTTCTGAGACACGGAGTTAGATCACTCGTTATATCAGGGCATTCTTCCTTGCTATTCATTCTCGGATTTTTGGAATTTATCCAAAAATCCTAGAGAAATTTGCGCGTTGGTGTTTTAGTCTCCTGTGCGATGATAGCGACTTTTACATCAAAATCTTCTCCGCTATGTTTTTGTATCCTATGCGTGCCTAATGGCGTGGTTTGTTCTGATTTTCGTTTGCTATCTAGGGGTTCTTTTATGCGGATACATAAAAGTCTCTCTGTTTCGCCGATATATTCGTCTCCTCAAGTACTACAAGAAATCGTGTATGTCGTACCTGAACTCATGCAGTCACTGTCTCTGCCGTAGGGGCAAATTACGCAATCATATAGACGGTCATACAGGCGGTTACGAACTAACTGACGACGTGGAGTATCTGGTGGTATTTCAACTATCGCTACCAACTCCTCTTGATCTGCCCTTCTTAAGCCTCGCTTTATCGCTACACTTATTTCATCGCTAACGAAGAGCAAGATAAACGGAATTTGTTTCGACTAAACCCTTGGTTTTGAGGCGTCGCTCTCCTTCTGAGTTTATCTCGTGGGGTTACTGTTTTGTAGCCATTGGAGATAGCTGTTTCCCCAGCCAAGTTGCGCGATTCTTCCTTTAGTTCCTTACTTGTGAACACAGAGGTGGCCGTTCGAAACATGTTTCTCACAAGCGACCTTTTTGTGTATGAAGGGTGGGAAGAAAGGACATGAACGAGGATGTTCTTGTTACTTGGCAATACGTAGTTTTTTTAAACGTACATTTTGAGAATTTATGGTTTAAGAATTGATCACCGTTTTTCCATCGTTGTTTTATCTTTGTTCGAAAGGAGTTGACTTTGGTTTTATTTCGCAAGAGACAGATTTTCTTTCATAGAATGCTTATTATATTTCCAGCCCAACTTCGCAAAAATCATAGAGAAACTACCTCTGCGTCGATATCATACCTACGACGATTCAACTCCAACTCGACTTGAAATTCCTCCTGATGATTTAAGCGAATTCATCACTCATTTTAAGGTTAGTTTTTTGACTGGGATCATTTTAACTCGTGGGTTATAGAAGTATCGCGTTCATTGTTGAAGTTTTTTACTCTTAGAATGGACTGTATGTTTTTCAGTTTCACTTCTAGAATATGTTTAAACGACACTTCAGAGAAATAGATAGGCGGTGTTCTGCCTTTAGGATTACTGTATGGCTAGAAAACTTTGCAAGGCAAGGGTTATCTTACCAACTAACTGACTGTAGCAAATTTCACAACGTAATGCCTCTTAATAATCAGTATTTTGTGTTTTGTTTTATTTTGGATTTTTTTCTCAGTCTCTCCATTGACTTTTGTCGGAAAATTCTCGAAAATATGTGCACGTTCCTTGGTCGTTCTCGGCGTAAGTCCTACCTACATAGTGTTTTTGGTTCGGTGAAATTCAAGAAGTAGTGACTTTAAGCTTTGGCTTTGCAGTACCTGTATAGATGAGACCTTTAGGACTATTTCAATGGTGACGAAATTTTGCCACTTGCAATAAATTTTGTAATTGCTAGCCAATTTTGCAATGAAAATCATTTGTCATGTTCCGTAGTTGGTTTATTTTTTCTGTACGTAACAATAATTTTGTTGCCTTATCTTGCTCTCGTCCTCACAGAAACATTTGGTCAACCAATATTCACGTGGACTTTTATTTTTAGGTAAAATATCCAATTTGTAGATAACGGATTGCCGTAATATGAATGCACAGCGTTGTGGTGTTCGCTTTCTTCCTGCCCTCGAACTTCGTCCAAGAACGGCATATTGGGTTCACACAGAATGCAATATCAGGGTATGTTGGTCCTTTATTCTCTCTCTTTTTCTTAGCAGCTATTGTTTTACTAATACCTACTTAAAACAACAAATTCATTTTTTTGCTTATTGTTCTCTTATTCTGTTATCACAACTACAGTACCTTAGGCAAACAGCCAGTGCTTTTGTTTACGTATTGGTTTTTTGATCCGGACTTGCTGTTTGTGTCCGTCAAAGTTTGATCTTTTTTTTTGTTCGAACCTTTGGCCTTGCTTATTATTTATTGACAGTAGGAAGTAAGATATCTACGAAGGGACTGAATTGGAGGACTAATTTTCTACGTACTGCTGTGTTCTGGTATGTCTCGGAATCGTTTGAAGAACGAATAGAGGCAATACGAAATAATTGTTTCTGAAAATAATCTTGCATTTCTGCGCGAAAACTTCGACTTTTTAGGGCCAACTCATATTCCTTCATTGCATTTTAAATGCCAAATATGGGATTTGCAGTTATTAAATTTGGATATATAGAATTTTGTTTTTATCTATGCTGGAGCTATGGTGACGATATTTGTTCATATACTAGTAGAGTCACTGCCCAAATTCTTTGAAAAGTTATTACTGATTCTTTTCATGGAATTTCTTTATTGGGAATGATGATTCGGCTATTTTACAGGCAGATGAAGAACATAGGCTTTCACATATTCCTTTCGTCAGTGAAGACCATGACGATAAACAATTCTGTGCTGAACTGAGAAAGTTGTACGACGAGGTGGTTTTCTTGGTTTTGCACTAACATATTTTTTGGTGTGGTTTTCGCAGAAGACCTCTTGATACCTGCTATTCAATATATAAACTAAGAATTTTTGTGATTATGCGGTTCCATTCTAGCTCTGAGCATTTAGGGCATTCATGGAGCAGATCGAGGATGTGACAAATATATCAATGACTATGTTATGTTTTATATGTTAGAGATATTGAAATCAGAATGGGAAGATCGCCCTAATTCAGAAAGTTAGTTCATAGCCGGCATTATCAAACTTGAAGTATACCTATGATGTTTTGTAACTTTTGGCTCACATGAGGTATTTTCAGAAATTATGGACCACATTTTCTATGCGATTTTCAAACTTTTTCCAAATAAGCTTTCGCATCGTCAGCTTGTCACGGCGTGGGTGTTTTTGTATATTTTGGGCTGCCAAAGTATTTGTGCTGTCGTCATCAATGTTCATCTAGTTATCTGCTAACATGCTTGATTCTTTAGTCGAGGCGACCTTGAAGAGAGGTTCGCACCAGGTCGTACTCCTTCGAAAAGTACACAAGACTTGCGAGCAAGTAGCGATCAAAATTTCCATTCGGTAAATGTGTTGTGCTGTGAGCGATGTTGTCAGTATGACTGTGTACTCCATGGTGAGCGTTATCAGTTATTGCAGCCTTTGTTTTCACATTCTGGATAATGTGAATTGATTTCAACTCATAAGTGAACGAAATTAATCTATTTTTTTAATTTTAAGCAAGCCGATTTCAAAGAAAATTCTGAAACGAAAGTTGTTCAACCATTGCCAACAAAATACAAGTGTTATTAGGTTACTACGGCAATGTTTTCCTGGCCCACACTTTTTTTCACGTCGTACCGCGTATCTCGAGGCTTTCGCCTAGCATGACAAGATGGTGTCCGCAACATTTGACCGTTGCATCAAAAATTTCATGTTTTAAATGACAAGATAATTTTTAGTCTTTAATTAAAAGTAGAATGAGTCATGAGGATCGAGGATCGTCACGAATGAGTAAAGTAGTATTTCGCCCATAAGGCAGTGACAGCACATATGTTTTTTTTGCCGATGTAGTTTTAAAAGGTTGAAGTTGAAAACTAGAGCATTTTGGCGAGCGAGAAGGTGTTTTGAGCTATTCTATGCCATTCTTCATATCTGGTTCTATTGATGCTCTAGTTTATTTCTTCTCCACTAGATGACAATAGTGCCGCACCTAAAGTTTTCTAGGCGACTTACTTTTGAAATATTTCGTACGGTTTCTGTTTTTTCATCTTGCTGCAGTTTAGCTGGTCCATACGATGAAGATGTAAAGCCGTTTAAACGACGGCAGGGAGAGAGAGCACCAAGGGGAAAGCCATGCAGTTCCCATTGTCATCTCATCGAAGTGAATGGCAAAAACTTGGTTTGTTTGTTTTAAGACTTGACATTTAAGTTCATACTTTAATCTTCGTCAATAACATATAAGGTTATGGTCTTGGTGATGTAGGTTTGGGATGATAGATAGATTCAAATAAAAACAACGTTTAAAGATACTTCTCGAACAAAATTTTGAATTTTGAGTGCAACCTGAAATAATTGAGAAAGGGATAATTTCAAAGTTCAAAAGAAGCGGAATTTCTGATTGACACTGACGCGCTTTGATCTGCCTTTCAATTTTGAAGAGTTCGACATGTTTTGGGCAATATGGATTGATTTGAGCTCATACGACGCTTAAGATAACTTGTTTCTCAGCTCTAAACAAGCATAATTCAGCTCATAGAGAATTTTGCCAGTTAAAATGTCAACCTTATCACTTGCCATCTCGTTGATCGTCGAGCGACTTGAGCGAGCGCCAGCAAACCTTCCATTTCTCTTTATCGTGTTCAAGAGTGGCCCATTGAGTTCTGCTCACTCTAGGGACGTATTTTTCTTCTGGGGCTCTTGAAAGGAACTATAACAGTTGTGTCAGTGGTCTGTCTCATGCCTTGTTACATCCCGAGGAATCCAGTCGCTATGGGGCGAGTGTCCATCGGTTTTCGTACTTGCATCTTACCTGTCCGACCTCCACCATTATCTTCGGCAAATCATCGGATGAAGAAAGGTCTGTTTTTGATCGGATTCGTGGCAATTAAAACATAATTATTATGAAAATTTACCGAAAATCTACATGTTTTGTTGTTCTATCACAATGAGATTCAATTTTTATCTTGAACTATGTAAATGTTTTCCCTCTTTTCGTTGAGACTTATATTTCGAACATCAAAAGGGTCGAACTAGCAGCATTTGATCCAACGTAGTACGTGCGATATTGCCTTATCCTCGTGTATCACTGATGACTGTGGCTGCCGCACTTGCTTTAATGTTTTGAAAAAGTTGATTTTCGTTTTCATTCTCCTGAATGTGTTGGACCTAAGCAAGTTTGAACTAGAAAAATATCATAGGAATGTTTGTATATAAGAGAAAGTCTCTTCTGTAAACTTACCAGTGTTTAAGTGCTCAAGTACTCTATTTATTAAGAAGTTATTGGTGTTTGTTAGAAATTCAACGAAAAAGCAACATCGACGTTAAGAAGTTAGAGTGTTCACTGTTTTTATAGGTCTCATATGGACTAGAAGAAAACCGATCAACACGTAGCCGTAGCTCAGGAAGTCCTTTGTCTCCACGGCCTCGAAGTCGTCCGACAAACGCTTCAGATACTAGCTCATTGCCGAGTGTTCCAAATGGACAGGTTACGAATGGAAAAGTAGCACCGTTTGCGAATCCGACACTGATGAATATTTTGGTGGCATTGTTAGCTGGTGAACAAACGTCGATCTGCCTCATTACCGCTCAGATGAGCATGATTTGTCAAGATATTGGAGTGGAGTCACGCACATGCAGTGAAGTAAATCGATTTTTATTTTCACATTTTAAAATTTGTTGGTGAACTTAAGAGGAGTGGCACTAAAGTGTCCAGGAAGTTACTCAACTATTTTGCATGCGTATTTTATAAACTAGCAATGTACAGAGTTTCGGGACCATTCCATTTCCTTACTATAATTATGAAAAGTAGTAACGAAATTAAGTCAACCCTCGGAAACAGGTCCGAAACTCACCTAAGGTTTTAGGTTTTGCTCATACCTCGGCATCCTGGTGTTTGTACTGTACATTACACCCAGCTATGATAGAAGAATGGGCAGTAAATGAAACTTAAAACAATGTTATTAAAAGTATTTTTAAATGCCGACTTTCATCCAGCTTTAGAGTGGTTAGCCAGCATTTGCCAAACCTAAAAAACTTTTGAGCGTTTACCAACCTAATGTTAGCTAAATGATCATGTAAACTAGGAGTAAACTCTTGGCGATGTCTTACTGGTAGCGTCGAAGAATTGTAATTCTTCAGAACGGAGACTTTGCACCACATAAGTAGTTATTGAGAGGGGTTTTTTTGGATGCGTTTTATTCACGTAGTTTCCATACCGACAGAACTGGCAGAGTACGGTATTTTTGAACTCCTCTTAATCTTCAGTTTCTTTTTGTTTCTCAGTCTTCCTTTAAGCTGAACATCTTTTCGTTTTCTAGATTCTGAATTCTAGAAGTTAATATTCGAACTGTATTCGATGGTATTCACAATATTTTAGATCTATCGCCTTGCGGCACAATTAGCTGAGGCAAATCCAAGTCTAACACCTGACCAAAAGAAAGTGTTAGTAGTCTTTTATTTTAAAAATCCTCATGAGGAAAATCATAGATAGGATTGGCTTCATAGAAACGCATAATGCTTTTCGTTGCAGTTCTGTTAAAGATAAACACAGATCATTTCGATCCTTCACTTGGGCTGATGGAAAAGGACAGGTATGCTTCGAAGTGAAACTTCGAATTACATCCAAGATGAATTAACGATTCCATTCACAGGTTGAGAATAAAGAACGAATGGTTCCGTGTTCGCATCCTGGGCATTGTGATGGCAATAGGCAGTGTGTTTGTTCGTCAGCTAGCGGTATTTGCAGTAAGTTTTGTGGATGCCCTCCCGATTGTCGAATGCGGTTTCCTGGCTGTCGGTGTGCACCGGGTAAGGTTCTGCTTTCACATTTTCGGTTGTTCTTTTGATGGTTTTTGCATGGTTCTGGCAACGTATAGAAGCTTGCAAAGTGTTTTGTGTATACAGAAGTTTGCGTTTAATAGTAACTAGATATATAGTCCTTTCCAGAACGTTAAGAAGGTCACTGTGTAAACAAATCATTATTTCCGCTTGTTTCCAGCATTATAGAATACTAACACTTTCTTTTTGTTTTCGACGCTGTTACGAAAAACACTTGCCAGAAGCGATCTCATGAAGCATTGTTATAATTATTAAGGGATAAAATCTAACTTATTTGAGGTTCTACTAAATAACTATGCATTTTATCAAGTTCATTGCCAGCACACATTTCGCTTGTGATTGTTGGTGGTTCAGTGTTCGCCAAGAAAATTCTTCGTTTTCTTACCTATCTACAGATTCCTTTTTTGATTTCATTCATCTACTACAGGTAATTGTCGAACAAAGCAGTGCCAGTGCTATTTTGCGCGATGGGAGTGCGACCCAGATCTTTGCAAATCTTGTAAGTGTGGTGAGTACTGTTTCGTTTTTGTTCTGATCGTATTACTTGTCCCTTTGATGTTTCATTCCTTATCTTATTTCACTTTATGAAGTTTATTCCGTTGTAAATGCTTATTGGAAATAATTCCCATGTAAGTATTAGTCCCATGCAAGTTTTGCATGTTTATATGTTAGTGTTAAATATTGTAGATGATCTATCTATGGACGGAGAGAAATGTCGCAATGTACCTCTTCAACGTGGACATCAGAAGCTTCTCAAGGTGTTTCTCACGACCTTATCTGCTTCTCTATACATTTCCGTTTTTGGCTAAATAACATTATTTGAGGTTGGCATATCTGGAATCGCTGGATGGGGTTGCTTCATCCAGGAAACAGCCGATAAGGCGAGTTAAACTTGATGAATATTCTTTTTGTAATGAAACCTTCCCAACTCCAGGGTGATTTGATTGCGGAGTACACTGGTGAGGTGATATCAAAATGGGAGTCTGAGCGTCGAGGCCTTATATACGACAAATTTTGCACCAGTTATATCTTCGGTTTGTTGTTTACTAAATTGAAACAATAATGAATAGTTCTAAACCGAATTTTGTTGTTTATTTAAATATACAGGCCTTTTTGCGATTTTATATGAAGAAATTGCACCGAATAATAATAAGAAATGCGAAGGCTAAGATAGTTTGATGCTTAACAGAAGCTTAACAGTTTGATGAGTATGAGGTTGTTGGTATGTTTTTGCGAGAACTCAGACAACGTCAGTTTGGTTGAGATGTCTGCAGCTAAAGGTGTGTCATGTGTATTTAAACGAAATAGTAGATTCAGTATCTGAGCTCTACATTGGATAACTGAGTAGGAGTACAACATGGTTTCCTAAGCGATATCCATTCTTCTTACCTTGGCATAGTGCATCATTTTGCCTTTGTCTTCACAGCTAATATCCTGGCGGCTTTGCTGCTTTTTTTATTATACTTACTTGTACACTTGGATGTCCTGTCCTCACTAGTTGTGTGGGCCCCAGCATGATTTCCACTTTTTCGGAGTTTTGCTGGTTTAAGCATTGTGGTTCCCTGTAGTCCTGAGGTCAGCCGGACGAAAGTCTGCACCAGGTCGTCACCGCCACAGGCCGTCACCGCCCTTGTGGATCAGAGGAAGATTTGCCACCACTCGACTAGTTTGATACGAGGACGGTGGCGGATCCTGCTATTTCTTTACACTTAGCTGGAGTTTCTGATGGAAACGTCGGACTCAACTTGGGAGACCCTGCCAGGGAGATGAATTTCCCCGCTGTACGTCGCAGTCCTACACACAGGAACACCTCCCAGCCACGATGAGGCGGTAAACCGTTGGGAGGGGTTTTTATTATACTTGTGAAAATTATAGAAGTGGTAGAGAGTCAATGCTGCATCTTGAATAACTTTAACGAATGTCAATCTAGCGGTAGATTAATGAAGGTGCAGTAAATGCGAAATATTGCTTTCGAGTTAGTAGTTCTTGATTTCATTGAACCATTATGACATGGAAGCCTCTGTTCACCTAGAGATAAGGTCTAACACACATTTATTTTTTTACGCGATCCAACATTGTGTATTGTGCCCGCGGAACCTAGCGCTTCTTACGTTCCATTCATTTCGTCGCGCCTATATTCTACGAAAGTCTTCAAACTTTGCGTGTGGCCTTATATATGAGGAGTCGTTGAGGAGTCTTCTGAATGTCATTAAATGTAGCCGAGTCGATTTACCCTGTAATTCTAGGATAGCCATTCTACGGTGTTTCCAAATGTTCATTATCATGCAGCGGCTTTGTGGACTGGACAAGCAAGTTATTGCCAGAAACGTCTATCACCCATTTTTCAACGCTAGAGTGATTGGAGGCTTGATTTGCTCTGGGTATTGTTGAATGTCGCCTTTGTACTTATTGTACAGCATCACTACCGCTGCTCTACCCGTTCCTCAGTCAACAATTATGTGTGCAAAAGCACTGAAATGAGAGTACGGTGCAGTGGTTAGTGGTGCTAAGGAATACGTATGGAGTCATTGGTTCGATCAAGCGCTTCGGACAAACTGTGCCATCTGTCCTTTACGGGTCGGCAGAATAGTAGCAGACTTGTCTGATGACATTAAAACACTGACTTGATATATCATAGACTCTGCAAACCACTGTATAGACAAAATATGTACTTAGTAGCTCTGCTTATCAAAGACGATTGCATAGATCTTCACGAAAAGTTGATCAATATCGAATGCTTTTGCGCTTTAGTTAGCGCCTCATTGAACAACTCTGTATTTGTGCTGCATCTTAAGGGATAGGAAACACGATAAGATTATTATAGGAATGAACAACGATCAATTTATCGATGCAACCCGAGTAGGCAATCTCATTCGCTTCGCTAACCACTCCAACATCAGTGCTAATTGTTCATCGGAGGTGTGTCGGATTATTTTTTCACAAATTCAGATATACTGACGCATAACTTCCAAAGCTCGTTTTCCGAAAACTATCGGTAATTTCTGGATCACTGGAGTTATTTTAAGAGTTAAGTTCACTGATTTGTAGAGCAGACTCTATCGCCTTTATTTAAATTCCAAATATTTAAAACTTTCAGGGAATTGGAAGTATAGTTTAAGTTTTTAGAAGTTTTCTAACTTTTTTTTCTAAATTTTTAATGTTTTTTTCTTATTTTTAAACTTAAAATTTTCTAATGGAAGAGCGGTAGATGAGAGCGTAAACGGTGCATTGGAGAACACCTATGTGTCACTGTGGAAGAAATCCCGTTTCCCTGTTTGCTTATGGGTTCAAAACATTAGCTTAGCACAAGTGGAAGAAATACTAGGTTTTGAGGAAATCAATGTCGGATTTCAGCCTGTATTTTCAAAGTGGCATATCTCAGCTCAGAATAAACATTATCAATTGAAATAAAAACCATTGGTATCTGCACATGTTAGCCAACGGAAAACAAGTTTACCAATACATATTGCTTAAACTTTTGGTGTTTTGAAGGCTATGAAGTCGTTGGAGGCAATTTTGCCCTTGGCTTGGTTTCTAAAGAATTTATCACACAGGAAGTTGTCGAGATGCTTGAAGAAGTGGCGGCTTGTGGACCAAGGGCATAGCGAGTTTGGTTGACAGGACAATGTTTCGTGTCCCCGCTCATTCAACTTTTCCAGCGTCTGTTGTACGACGTATCGCCTCGTTTTATCGTGCAGAAGGATTGGTCTCTTTCTACTAATCAATGCAGGGCACAGTTGTTGAAATTCTTGGTGCATTTCGTCGATTTGCTCGACTTAGTTCTTCGCTGTAATTGGTTTCATTGGTTTCAGGATGCTGTGATGGGTTAAAACAGCGATAAACTACCAAACGGTCAGTGCGACCGTATTTGGGTGCAATTTCTACATTGGAAGGCGCTCTGGACCTTCACCGCTGTCCAACCACTGAGCCGATCGATGACAGTTGTCGTAAAGGATTCAATTCTCGTAACACATCACAATAAGACGAAGAAACGGGTCGTTCTGCTTGCGCAGAAGAAGCGCTGACGATCCCTCATAATGGCTTCGTGTTCAGTCTTTCAATTTGTTCGGCCTTCGTTTATCCAGTTTCTTCGACAGCATGATTTAAATGCTCCGAAACAGTCGATGTGCTTATACCGAGTTCTTCTGTAAATTTTCGAAGAGTCGTGCATGTATTTGCTTCCACTAAAGTTTTCAATTCATCGTCCTCAGTAGTAGAAGGACATCCGCTACCTTCCACATCTTCATGGTCGAATTCGTTACGACGAAATTTTTCAAATGCCAACGTTGCACTGTACGTTCGTTAACACTTCCTTTCCGTCTCCCATGTTTCGTCAGTGTTTCGAGCCATCCACCCCTGGGTTTTGATTTCGCAAAAGTAGACGTTTCCGTGGATTTCGCCTTCTTCGGAGCTTAGATAAGTCAAGTTGTCTGCAATCCAGTTAGCTAAGCACCTCCATAATCTCAGCGGAAAAACGTAGCCTCAACCTCAAATTTGAAAACAAATAATTCACTGTTTTTATGGGAAGCACACATGAGGTTGTTATTAACCCTCCTACCGAAAGCTTACATTTCGGCGGATCTCGTTTTCTTCAGACCTTGACAAGGTCAAGTTAGTTCCAACTAGGTTCATAACCTCAACAATAGAAGTAGGCTTCTCGCATTGGCTGTTTTGACATCTGAAATTCTAACCTTTAAATTCTCTCGAAAATATGACTTGTATTATAATGCAATTATACGGGGCGAAAGTGCAAAGAATGAACCTTTCAATGCCGTATGGTACTCCGGCATCGACTGTTGTAGCTCTTTTGTAAAGAGAAAAAATTTTTGGAACACAACTAAAATGAAATTACAAAACTGACATCAACTTCCTGAAGACCTGATGTATGTCACGGTTTCCAGAAGGGCACAATGTAGTCTTGGTAAAATAAGATAACTTCTATCATATAGGCATAGACCTGTTGAATCTAGTTGTTTCATTTTAACTAGTAAAGTCTTACGTGACCTCAGATATATATGTATATATATATATATATGGTACAAAATTTGACCCTTTCTTTTTTATATGTTAAGTTGAAGCAACCACTTTATTCCGTTATGTATTTGTATAATGAAAACTTTTTTTTAGATTAAAATTGTCAATGGCGAGCATCGTATAGGGGTCTATGCTAGTCGACATATTTTATGTGGTGAAGAGCTATTGTTTGATTACAATTACGGTCAGACGTGGAATAAATTCGTCCCAATCGAGAAGAGCATAAAGTTTGTTCTGGAACTTTTTTCCTTTCCTGGCTTTATATCCTAATACTCATTTTTGTGCTGTAAACATACCATAAAGACCTGCACTTAGAGCTAAATACATTACTGAAACTCTAGTGACGAAAAGTTCAAGGTTGAAGTTACTTAAAATCACTATGAAATGGGAAGGGTAAAGTTCTAGCAATTCAGCCACTATGTCCGTATTCTAATCTGATGTTTTCATACCGTATCCTTTCCCGTAAATCATTCGAACAGTTCGGTGATGTGTTTATTCTGTCGGTATCAAGTGTACATCATAAAGTTTTTTTTTTCAGTGATATGTAAAAATTTTTTAACATATTTCAGAGCCCAAGCGAATCGAAGCACTCCAGATAGCGACAGTAGTCGAACTGCGGGGTCACATAGTAAGCCCGAGAAACTACGACGGTCGTTGTTGAAGAAGATGGTCAGGGGTGAACTGAAAGGGTCCTCAGAAGAGGTAAAGAAAGAGAGGTCTGTCGACTGTTCCACAGCATCCATAAAACCACCTAGGCATCGCGGACGTCCTCGCATAGGATGCCACTAGGCAAGTGTTTTAGACGTTAAGGTTGAATGATTTTTTACATGAGGTTTTTTGTGGATGTGTTTACTGTTCACGTTTGTGTTGTATTTATTGGACGGCACGCACAGTTTAGGTGTTCAATTTTTGTCACTGCCAGATATTTATTGTTCTTTTTTTTCATAATCGCCTCTTTATGTTACATCGTTTGTTCGTTTACTGTTTCTCTCCCAGAGTACGGCTGTCCTCTATATTCTGAGCAATCTATTATCGATCCATCATCATTCTGGTATTAATCTTTTCCTGCCAATCAGCTACCTTTTCTGTTAATATACATCTTTCGAGCACGTTAACCACTTTTTATGCAATGATTTGCCTACAACGGCGACACTGCCAACTGAGCATATAGTGGACACTTGACACTTGGCTCGTCCTCACTGGTTGTGCGGGCCCCAGCATAATCTCCATTTTTTCGGAGATTTGCTGGCTATGCCATTGCGGTTCCCTGGGATCTCGAGGTGAGCCTGGCCAAAGTCTGCCCCTTTATGGTGGACAACGGAATCTTATATGAAAATCCGTATTTAGTGCGTGTCACATAAATGATAATGATGACTACATTTTCGATATTTAGTTGTTGTATTGATGTTGCAAACATATGAACCGATGTGTCGTCTGATTACTAGTAATGCTGACTTGGTCTCTATTTCGAACCCATCAGTTACTGAGTGTGGTGTGGTGTGCGTTTTTTGAGGTTGTGTTTGTTTACAGTAATCGACAAGGATAAAGTATTAACTGTTCGATGCGTTGGTGTTTTATTCTAAGGAGCTGTTGTTGGTGCGCAGCGTCTAATTTGGGAGACGTTACGACTCTAGGGTTTCCAGGGTGTATGCGTTCCATCGTTTTGTAACTGATAAGGG